CCATTTTCTGGATTTGCACAATACATTGACCCGTAAGCTAACCAAACACAACAACAGCAACAACAACAAAAAAACAAGTGTAAGTTATTCCTTGACCCACTTAAGGATGCTGCACAAATGCAAATGCTTGGTCTTTCGTTGACCCAAATAAACATGTTGTGGGAATGGAAGCATTATTTAAGATCCCCGAATCCTTGGAGATGCACAGCGAGCTCCCGTGCTCACTGTGTGAGAGAGACGAGCAGGCACACCTCCGATGTGTAATTAATCTTCTCAATCTGTAGATAGCAAATTACGGTTCCCCTTGACCTTTACTTGAGGGCCTTGGTGTGTTGTTGCAATGCACACTCTGAGCTGTTGCTGAGTGCCTTGCTTTCAGAGAGGAGAATCTGTATCTAAAGTGTCAAATTAACTACTAAGACTGTATTACTATTCTTCTTCTCATCCTTACTAGGACCTATCTCTTCCCACTTATGGCTCTATCCGTGTTGCTTGTATCTTTACAACTTATATTGTTTTTATTGTTTCCTAGTATGATTTGATTGCTTATTAGTATCTATCAGCAAGTGTTGTATCTTATGATTCTTGATGAATATATTTTATTTTTTCTTTATGTACACTGAGAGCTTGTGCACCAAAGACAAATTCCTTCTGTGTCCAATCAACTTGGCCAATAAATAATTCTATTCTATTCTATTCTATTCTGCTCTATTCTATTCTATTCTATTCTATTCTATTCTATTCTATTCTATTCTATTCTATTCTATTCTATTCTACTCTACTCTACTCTACTCTACTCTACTCTATCATTCTTAATTCTATTACATTCTATTGTTTCTATTCTATTCTACTCTACTCTACTCTACTCTACTCTACTCTACTCTACTCTACTCTACTTTACTCTATTCTATTCTATCATTCTCTATTCTATTCTATTCTATTCTATTCTATTCTATTCTATTCTATTCTATTCTATTCCAATTCCTACTCCTACTCCTACTCCTACTCCTACTCCTACTCTACTCTACTCTACTCTACTCTACTCTACTCTACTCTACTCTACTCTACTCTATTCAATAAAACAATTATGCCAAGAAGGACAGGCCCAGGTCCACAAATCTTTCTTCCTATGGAGAAAACTGGCCAATAACCAGATACATGATCCAAACATTATCTCTCCATATTCCTCCTTAATCTGAGGCATAGAGGCTATTCAAGCGCACGCAGTGCATTTGAAAACAGCTCTAAAACTTACATTCTACTGCAGCCCTGGTGAGTAAAACAGCTGAGGCATGGCAATCCGCTTTACCGCACCTATCAGCTGGGCTTCAAACAAAGGAAATATAGGTTGGTATACCGCAGGGGAGGGCGGGCGGGCCCAGCTGATGGTTGGAGCGAACCGGTTCACCTGAAATGATACGAACTGGCTGAATCCCACCTCTGAGTCCATCCCAAGTAGTAGCCGTTATCTCTGATGGCATCAAGTTATACAGGTTAGCAGTATGGATCCTTTCTGAATCTACCACATTTAAATATGCTGTATTAGGATGCAACTAGGATGACTTTACAAGACTTGTGAACTTCAACTCCCTGAATTCCTGAGCCAGCCATGTCCACAGTCGTAAAGTCAGCCCATAGAGTTGCTCACCCCGGCTCTAAGCTGACCTGCTCAGTTTGACCTATCAAAGAATGCAACCTTTTCCCCCATTCATTTGTGTGTTGTCCATTCATTTTTATTTTTTTTTTAAAATTCATGTTGTGTGCATTTCTATGTTGAGTTCTGGGGCAGGAAAAAAAAAATCAAAGCAGTTGCTACAGAGGGAAGATGCATTGCTGCTAAGCCACCATTCCTCTACTGCATTGAAAATCTATAGGATATATGTAGCAAATTGTAATGATCTCTTCAGAGAGGCTTAAGAAACTGGGATGGAAAGAGAGGTCCTGCCAATGACCCATCAGCCTCCCCCAAGTTTTCCAGAGTGCTAGCATCTCAAAGGAGTAATCACCGTGATTGGAGATGCCCTGCAGTTGACCTGGAAGTAAATCAGCTCAGCTGATTAGTAAGGACTCTGATGTGGGATCAACCAGCATGGAAACAGTAGGAAGACAATATGCGTAGAAGCATATATGTTAGATTATGTATTTAATGTGACATGGGATTGACTGCTCACGAATCCTGGGAGATCCTCAAACGTGTTTTGTGAAGACTTCATTATCTTTTCATGGTCAATTCTTCCCATCATTGTCCCGTCGTTCGATTGCACCTTTGTCTTTGTCTGCTCTGGGGCATGTCACACTTGTGGTCAAGGTCCAACCTCATGTGTCCTGTATGCAATGAAAGTGGGATGCATGTGGTCAGACCGAGACCACAAGGCCAGTGGCTTCCACCCTACCATCTGATCATCCTTGCCATCTGCATCAAATCTTTGATTCCATCCTCATCGCTGGCAGAGAAAACAGCATCGGGCATCACTCATCTGTCGTGGGAAGGCTTTCGATGTCCGACAGTTAACGGAAAAATGAAAACGTGGATTGCCGAGGGACTTTTCTGCATAACAAAATGGAAACGCATGTGTGTTTGTAAAAGTAAGAGTGGCAGAATGACTTCACACAACACGTTAGACTCGAGTCGAGTGAGACCCACAACTTCAAGGAGAAGGAATTGCAGTCAGGGCTAGTACAACAGAAGATTAGTAGAAGCCAGGCAGAGGTGGGTTGCAGCAGGTTCTGACCAGTTCTGCAGAACCGGTAGCGGAAATTTTGAGTAGTTCGGAGAACCGGTAGTAAAAATTCTGACTGGCTCCGTCCCCCATCTATTCTCTGCCTTCCGAGTCCCAGCTGATCGGGAGGAAGTGGGGATTTTGCAGTATCCTTTCCCAGCCACGCCCACCAAGCCATGCCACGCCCACCAAGCCACACTCACAAAACTGGTAGTAAAAAAATTTGAAACCCAACACCGAAGCCAGGACTCTATTGAATTGGCTGATGTCCTATCTTTTTTTTAATAGTGTGGTGACCAAAACTGAATGCAGAATTCTAGGTATGGTCAAGTAATTTCAAGTAATTGAAAAAGATTCAGGTTTCTGGGGTTTTTTTGGGCTGAGGAGAAGTTAAACCGTGCAGGGATGTGTAACAGTAACAGAGTTGGAAATGACCTCACGCAAGAGACCTATACTAGGGATTTGAACCGCCGAACTGCCAATCTTTCTGATCAAGAAGCTCAGCGTTTTAGCCACTGAGCCACCTAGCCAGGCTGGTTGGGAGGGGGATTGCGATTTTTCTCGCCGTAGGTCTGTGAATGTCTCTAGCGCATGTGTGTGATATGACCGAAAGCATGTGTAAAATGGACCAGGGTATGTATGTATGTATGTATGTATGTATGTATGTATTTATTTATTTATTTATTTATTTATTTATTTATTTATTTATTTGTTCGATTTATATGCCGTCCTTCTCCGGAGACTCAGGGCGGCTGACAATGCGTTAAGCAATAGCCTTCATATTTTTGTATATACCTGCTTAGTAGGGCTTTTGCCCCCCCCCCAAGCGGTGTTCTTTTTTTATACAAAGTCAGCTTATTGCCCCCACAATCTGGGTCCTCATTTTACCTACCTCGGAAGGATGGAAGGCTGAGTCAACCTTGAGTCTGGTGAGATTTGAACTCGCAGTAATTGCAGGCAGCTGGCAACTAAGTGCTACTTTAACAGCACTTAGTCCACTGCGCCACCAAGGCATTCTGTCTCATGTGACATCCCCCCCCCCAATCCGGATTTTTTTTGAGACACCCCCTGCCTGTTTTGCAGGGGCCGTTGTTGAAAATGCAAAATGTAATTCTTGCAAAATTTGTGACAGCGGGACGTTCGTAGGCATTGCAGGAATATAGTAGCACGTTTTTTTAAAAAATGAATTCTCCCTCACCTCCTCGCTCCTTGGCTGCATTTGTTCAGAGAGGGAGCTTAATGAATGGGGACCGAAGTGATCCATAGCCAGGATATGCCCGACGCACAGAACCAGGGGTAAAATGCTCCTGGTTCGGACCGGATCGCCCGATCCGATAGCGATGGAGGCGGGTGGTTCGGAGAACCGGTAGCAAAAATCCCTGCCTCCCCCACTCATGCCCAGCTGAGCCGCACAATCATCAGAGGTTTTTTTTTTTTACTTTTAAAAGCATTTTTTCTACAACCTCTTCGGCCGAAAAAATGCCTTTAAAAGTTAAAAAAAAAAAAAAGCCTCTGATGATCGCGCGGCTCAGCTGGGATCATCAGAGGCTTTTAAAAGAAAAAAAAGCCTCTGCCGATCAGGCAACTCCGCTGGGATCGTCAGAGTCTTTTGAAAGCATTTTTAAACAACCTCTTCGCCGAAAAGATTGTAGAAAAAATTTTAAACGTAAAAAAAAAAAAATTGGCCACACCCACCCAGTCACATTACCCCCCCAAGCCACGCCCACAAAACAAGTAATAACAAATTTTAGATTTCACCACTGGACAGAACACAAAGAGTAAAATAACTTCGGGTTGGTAAACATGCGACGTCTCCCAAACAGGACACTCGACTTTATCCCAATTAAGCATGTTGCGTGAACGTGGCCTTTCTCTCTCTCTCTCTCTCTTTCTTGTCTCACACATAGGCTGTGTTTGCACAACAGGTTTACCCAGACTTAACAGCTGCATGCGTACAGTAAGCTAAGCTTAGTTTTAACCTTGGCTTTGTGTGAGTGTGTCGGTTCTGTGTTGCAATACAACATAAGTGTTTTGTGCAAACCCAGCCTTTTTAGCTAGTTTATGGTTTTAAGTGTATTGCATGATTTCGGAAAATAGTTTAATCCAATAACTAAATCCAGCGTGCTGTGTTAATGCAACCACTGTGGTTTTTTTTTTTTTTGGTTTTCCTTCAGCCACCCCCCCCACCCCAAACCCTTATCCTGTCCGGGCTGAATCTGTTGCATAGCACAGTGAGCTAACACAACAGCCCTTGTTTAACACACGTTCTTCTTTTTCCAGAATGGATTGAATGCCTTACATCTGGCCTCTAAGGAGGGGCATGTAAAGATGGTGGCTGAGCTGTTGCACAAAGAAATTGTGCTGGAAACAACAACCAAGGTAAGGACTCCAGAGCAGGAGGGACAAAGATACATTGGCTTCAGAGGTGGTATTCAGCTGGTTCTGACCGGTTCTGTCGAACTGGTAGCGGACATTTTGAGTAGTTCGGAAACCGGCAAATACCACCTCTGACTGGCCCCGCCCCCGATCTATTCGCTGCTTCCTGAGTCCCGGCTGATTGAGCCCCAGCTGATCGGCGTGGTGAGTCTATTGCTGCCTCCCAGCTGATTGGCTGGGTCTTCTTTTGTTGCCCTGCACAGGAAAATGGAGCTGGAAAGCAGGTAAGTGGGGTGGGAATGGAGATTTTACAATATCCTTCCCCAGGAGTGGGGCGGGAATGGAGATTTTACAATATCCTTCCCCTGGAGTGGGGCGGGAATGGAGATTTTACAATATCCTTCCCCTGGAGTGGGGTGGGAATGGAGATTTTACAGTATTCTTCCACTGGAGTGGGGAGGGAATGGAGATTTTACAGCATTCTTCCCCTGGAGTGGGGTAGGAATGGAGATTTTACAATATCCTTCCCCTGGAGTGGGGAGGGAATGGAGATTTTACAGCATTCTTCCCCTGGAGTGGGGCGGGAATGGAGATTTTACAATATCCTTCCCCTGGAATCGGGAGGGAATGGAGATTTTACAGCATTCTTCCCCTGGAGTGGGGTAGGAATGGAGATTTTACAATATCCTTCCCCTGGAGTGGGGTGGAAATGGAGATTTTGCAGTATCCTTCCCCTGCCACGCCTACCAAGCCACTCCCACAGAACCAGTAGTAAAAATTCTTTGAACAAACACTCCCAAACAAATTTGCACGATCTCCTCACCGTAAAGGAAAGTAGCGATTTCATTCTGATTATTTATGTCTGGGAAAGAAAGGTTTTTTTAATTTTATTTTTATGTACTATACTATTGACTTTTAATAAATGCATTTTAGTCTGGTCTTCACCCTACTTCTCAAAGTTTGCAGAATTGTGAGATACAGTGCTATTATTCACTGTCCAGAGTCAATAGGATTGAGATGGACAGCTGTAGAAATTGAATGAATGAATGAATGTGTTTCATTCATGTGAAAGATTTCTTCAAAGACTGTTTGGAAATGCAATTTATTTTATTTGAGATGATATCGAAACCTGACAGAATGAATGAATGAATGAATGAATGAAAGAATCAATGAATCAATCAATGAATCAATGAATCAATGAATGAATCAATGAATCAATGAATCAATGAATCAATGAATGAATGAATGAATGAATGAATGAATGAATCAATGAATGAATGAATCAATCAATCAATCAATCAATCATCTTGGAGGTATCTGCCCATCAGCTTCTCTAAAAAAATGTCCAAAACTCTTTGAAGGAAGTGACGTCAACGCAACTAGGATAAAATTGCTCAGAATTGTAGATATATTCAAGAGCTGGGTTCACAATCCAGGCTAAAGTGGTGAGAACGAACTTTCCCGTACCAAATTACAGACGTTGTTCTTGATTCATCAGATTCATTGCTCTTTTTTGCTCTTGCTTTTTTTTTTTAAAGAGAGGTTCTCTTCTAAAATAGATTATAATTTTTTACCTTCGTTCTGCCCCCCCCTTTTTTTATTCCAGAAAGGGAACACAGCTTTGCACATTGCTGCTTTGGCAGGGCAAGACGACGTCGTGCAGGAGCTGGTGAATTTTGGGGCAAATGTCAATGCACAATCACAGGTAAGAATCCCCAGCGAGCGGTCGCTGCCAGGTGAGCCTCCTCAGAGGCCGTTCGGAAAGTTGTAGTGCATTGAGAAGAAAAGAGACCCACGGTGACCAATCAGCATCTAGACTTGCAGAAAGAAAGAGGAGGACAATCTGATGAAACAGTGACTTGGGAGGGCTTCCTTCACAAGAACACCAAACCATGAATTAGCTATCCCTATTACACTGGCCAAACCCAGATCCCAGGTATACAGATATACAGACTAACAGAGTTGGAAGGGACCTTATAGATCATCTAGTCCAACCCCCTGCCCAAGGAGACCCTCCACCATTTCTAACCGATGGCAGTCCAGTCTCTTCTCGAAAGCCTCCAGTGATGAAGCTCCCACAACTTCCGAAGGCAACGTCTGTTCCATGGGTTGATTGTTCTCACTGTCAGAAAATTCCTCCTTATTTCCAGGTTGAATCTCTCCTTGTTCAGTTTCCATCCATTATTCCTTGTCTGGCCTTCAGGTACTTTGGAAAATAGCTTGACACCCACCCCCCCTGAGAAATAGCGTGAAAATAGAAATAGCATGAGAAACACTCACTGATTTCTCATGTTGCGGTTGCTGTTTCTACAGACCAAAAGCTTACACATTGTTTTGTACAGGTAGAACCTCAACTTTCAATCACAACTGACTCCCAAATTTATGTTGCTAAGCGAGACATTTTATTAAGCGAATGTTGCCCAATTTTGCGACCTTCCTTGCCACAGTTAACTCAATCACTGCAGTTGTTAAGCGAGTAACACCGTCGGTGAGTGAATCTGGCTTCCCCATGGCCTTTGCTCATCAAAAGGAGACTGCAATTGTCGTAGGTACACACCAGTTGCCGAGTGGCTGAAGTGATACCTGTAGTATCTTCCATGGACCGAAAGGATGGATAGCTTGCACACGCTGACATAAACCTCTTGAGTAGATTTACTTTTGCATTATTAATATCCTGACTAGGTGGCTCAGGGGCTAAGACGCTGAGCTTGTCGATCAGAAAGGTCGGCAGTTCGGCGGTTCGAATCCCTAGTACAGGTCTCCTGCGTGAGGAGGGGGTTGGACTAGATGACCTCCAAGGTCCCTTCCCAACTCTGTTACTGTTACTTACTGTTACTGTCCCCCTCCTGCTCTTTTGCTCGGAATCTCTATTCTCGCTGGATCCAAAGCCTTCCGTATCCCTCTGACTCTTTTGAGGAGCACCAGCTGTTCTCGGCCAACCTTTCCAACATCGCTTGCTTTCTGCCACCCAGCCAACCAGAAGAGCTTGAGATAACCGTCAAAAAAGCTTTCCGGGTGTCTCTTCGATGGACAGAAAGAGATCAGATCAGCCTGTGTCCCTCTGTTGGGCGAACAAGCAGGATGGAGAATATTCACCTGAGCCCCCTGCTGGTTCCCAGGCAGCATAACCTCCCCGTAAACCTTTCTGGGGCTCCTGCATTTTTGGGTTACATAAATTGATATCCGAAGGTCAGATAAATATTGGGGAGCGGGAACGAAAATAAGGTGGCTGGTGGAGAGGAAAAAAAAGGAGAACGACAGGTTCGAGGGGAACCAGAATTGAGAATTTGAGAGGCAATTGGACGCCTGTCCTTCTGGCTGAGATCGGCAAGCAAATGTCCTCCCTGTCACCTCACTCTCCCTCGCAGCAATCTTCTCCATCCCGGTTGCCAGTCACACTTGTGAGTCATCTTCCCAAAAAGGTGAAGAGGAAGAGGGCTTGCATTTGGCTGCAAAAAGCAAGAAACTCCCCTCTTGATTTCCAGGTCTTAAAACAAGCACACACCGCCTCTGCATAAGCTGGTGATATATATATATATATATATTGCTAAGCAGATGAGTAAACAGCCAGTGATTCTAGGCATCTGATTTCATCATCTGCTAGAACTCTGGCTTTTTTTTTTTTGTTGTTGTTGTTGGTTGTTTTGGGTTTTTTTTAGCATTTAGAGCTTCTGGAAAATCCTTTCCTTCGGTTTCTTTTCCTCTCGGCTCTGCAGGATCCAGAGCTGAGGTTGAAATCGGTGGGATGTTTTACCCGAAGCCCTGTTTAAATTTTAAAATGTCTGCAGCGACGGCCAATTTAAGAGGGAGCTAAATCAACCTACTAAAAGCTTTCCTCAAGTCCTATTCTGGCCCCTTATCGTAGAATCGTAGGACTGGAAGGGACTTTGGAGGTCCTCTAGTCCAACCTGGTGGCGCAGCAGACTAATAGCCTGTTATTAACATCCAGCTGCCTGCAGTTACTGCAAGTTCAAATCTCACCAGGCTCAAGGTTGACTCAGCCTTCCATCCTTTCTAAGATAGATAAAATGAGGACCCAGTTTGTGGGGGCAATAAGCTGACTTTGTATAAATATACAAAAGGATGAAGGCTATTGCTTAGCGCATTGTAAGCCGCCCTGAGTCTCCGGAGAAGGGTGGCATAATAAATTAAAGCCAAAAACAACAAAACAAAAAACAGGGTGATAGGTACCTTTTGGGGGGTGGGGGGAGGGGCGGAGGAAGATCTGTTGTAAATTGGAACAGTTTTTTTTAAAAAAATTGATTTATATGCCGCCCTTCTCCGGAGACTCAGGGCGGCTTACAATGCGCTAAGCAATAGCCTTCATCCTTTTGTATATTTATACAAAGTCAGCTTATTGCCCCCACAAACCGGGTCCTCATTTCACCTACCTTAGAAAGGATGGAAGGCTGAGTCAACCTTGAGCCTGGTAAGATTCGAACCTGCAGAAATTGCAGGCAGCTGTGTTAATAACAGGGTGCATTAAACCACTGTACTACCAAGGCTCTGATTGTAAATGGAAAGACTGCAGGTAGTAATCAACTTAACCACCATTCATTTAGTGGCCCGTTTGATGTTACAACAGCAATGGAACAAATTACTTAGGACATAGAGTAACAAGAGTTGGAAGGGACCTTGTAGGTCATCTAGTCCAACCCCCACCCAAGCAGGAGACTCTACAACATTTCTGACCGATGGCAGTCCAGTCTCTTCTCGAAAGCCTCCAGTGATGAATCTGCCACAACTTCTGAAGGCAACTTCTGTCCCATGGGTTGATTGCTCTCAATGTCAGAAAATGTCTCCTTATTTCCAGGTTGAATCTCTCCTTGTTCAGTTTCCACCCATTATTCCTTGTCTGGCCTTCGGGTGCTTTGGAAAATAGCTTGACCCCCTTCCTCCTCTCTGTGGCAGCCCCTCAAATATTGGAAGGCAGCTATCCTGTTTCCCCTGGTCCTTCTCTTCACTAGACTAGACATGCCCAGTTCCTGCAATTTCTCTGTGCCCCTCCTTATCTGTGTCGGTGGTGATATTTGTGTGGCTATTTGTGAGGTCCCACGGCTGATTCTCTCTTTGCAGAAAGGCTTCACGCCCCTGTATATGGCTGCCCAAGAGAATCACCTGGAAGTTGTCAAGTTCTTACTGGAAAATGGTGCTAACCAAAACGTGGCAACGGAGGTGAGTATTTCCCCCAAAGAATTCACCGACAGTTGTCGGGTCGAGAAAAGAACAAGGTTTTCTGAATTCGGAGGAGCAACCTTTATTGAATTCCCGTGAATGCCTTTGCTGTCCAACGTGAATGTGAAATATATATATATATATAGACGATTCAAGCCCACTCACTCCCTGCTTTTTTCTCCCATATGTTGTTTACCTCGTAGCTACTAAAGGCTGCTTATTAGCAGGGGAATTTGTTCTGACACTACCCGGTGTCTCTCTGCTGTTTCACACACACACACACACACACACACACACACACACACACACACACGGTTCAGATGTGGAAAAAGGAACTGGGCAATCCCAGGATCAGGCGCCTTTTTTGCCACCAAGGGATGTGGTGAGGAGCCTAAAAATAAGACAGCCCTTTGCAGCAAGAGGAAGGGTGCCACTGTTTCCCACGGCAATGGTGGGAAGGAAAAGAACTGGAAGTTTTGGAGTGTTAACACACCCTCTTCTTGTTCAGTGACCGGGTTCCATTCCAACAACTTGGTTGTTAAGCGAAATGGGAGATAAAGAGTGGGGGAGAGAGGGAGAGAGAGGGAGAAAGAGAGGGAGAGTAGGAGAGAGGGAGGGAGGGAGAGAGAGGGAGGGAGAAAGACAGGAAGAAAGAGAGAGAGAAAGAGGGAGACCCAGACAGGGAGAGAAAGAGAGGGAGAGCAGGAGAGAGATGGAGGGAGGGAGAGAGAGGGAGGGAGAAAGACAGGAAGAAAGAGAGGGAGAAAGAGGGAGACCCAGAGAGGGAGAGAAAGAGAGGGAGAGCAGGAGAGAGAGAGAGAGGGAAGGAGGGAGAGAGAGGGTGGGAGAAAGACAGGAAGAAAGAGAGAGAGAAAGAGGGAGACCCAGACAGGGAGAGAAAGGGAGAGGGGAGAGAGAGGGAAGTAGAGAGAGAAAAAAGGAGTGAGGGAGGAAGAGGGAAAAGATGAGAGAGAGGGAGAAAGAATGAGAGAGTGAGATAGCGAGTAAGAGAGAGAGTGAGAGTGAGGGAGAGAGAGAAAGAGAGAGAGAAAGAGAGAGAAGACGCTGCCAAGATTAATGGTTGCTGCCCATCTCATCCAGATAAAATTTTCTTATGGGTGTTCTGTGCTTAACCTTTTTCATTTTCCTTCTTTGGCTACCTTGCAGGGCACAAAGATGACTTAAACAAGCTATCTTTTCCTGACATTATTTTCTCTGCAGCGCAGAGGGTTTCTAAAAAGTAGTAACTGCTCTGTGACCTTAATTAGTTGATTAGGACCGTCCTGTCAACTGGCACCACTGCCTGAAACTGACCAGACCTTAATCAGTTTCACAATGTTGTCGGGCGCATTGGCCAAAAAATAATAATTATTTTTTTTGTTATCATTTAATAAACAATATTAAACTGCCATATTCGAGAATAGTCGCTAACTGAGTTTGCTGTACGAGAAGTGGCTGTATGTTTATCCTAAGAGGCTCCCCGCTGAGATTTTTATCCTTGTTATCATGTTTTGGCCCTGAGAATCACGTTCATAAATGTTGTGTTTAAATAAATGGGTCCTCCTCTTCCTACTTATAAGTTTTTGTCCAACAAAAACATCAGCTCTATTGATGAAGGGTGAGGAAAACACACAGGTCTTCTCACCCTATTCCTATCTTTGCATGACGTACCTAAAATGTTTGTCTCCAAAATGATGGTGCTTTGATGATTGTAAATAGCAATAGCCCTTAGACTTATATACCGCTTCACAGTGCTTTACAGCCCTTCTCTAAGCAGTTTACAGAGTCAGCCTCTTGCCCCCAACAATCTGGGTCCTCATTTTACCCATCTCGGAAGGATCGAAGGCTGAGTCAACCTTGAGCCAGTCAGGATCGAACTGTTGGCAGTGGGCAGAATTAGCCTGCAATTCTCCATTCTAATCACTGCGCCACCTTGGCAAAAAGGAAGGAAGGAAGGAAGGCATGAAGGAAGGCAGGAAGGAAGGAAGGAAGGAAGGAAGGAAGGAAGGAAGGCAGGCAGGAAGGCAGGCAGGCAGGCAGGAAGGAAGGAAGGAAAGAAGGAAGGAAAGGAAGGAAGGAAGGAAGGCAGGAAGGAAAGAAGGAAGGAAAGAAGGAAGGAAGGAAGGAAGGAAAGAAAGAAGGAAGGAAAGAAGGAAGGCAGGCAGGCAGGAAGGCAGGCAGGCAGGAAGGAAGGGAAGGAAGGAAGGCAAGGAAGGAAGGAAAGAAGGAAGACAGGCAGGAAGGAAAGAAGGAAGGAAGGAAGGGAAAGGAAGGAAGGAAGGACGGACAATAGCACTTAGACTTGTATATCACATCATAGTGCTTTACAGTCTTATCTAAGCGATTTACAGAGTCAGCCTCTTGCCCCCAACAATGTGGGGTCCTCATTTGACCCACCTCGGAAGGATGAAGGCTTCCTTTTGCCTTCAAGGAATTTCAGGAAATAGATGTGAAATCTTTTCTTACTTTATGCTTTTCTTTCTTCAATCTTGGGCAGGATGGCTTTACTCCCTTGGCAGTGGCTCTGCAGCAAGGCCACGAAAACGTGGTGGCCCACCTGATTAACTACGGGACGAAGGGGAAGGTGCGCCTCCCGGCGTTACACATAGCCGCCCGCAACGATGACACGCGAACAGCTGCCGTGCTTTTGCAAAACGACCCCAATGCCGATGTCCTTTCCAAGGTCAGCTGGTCATGCTCAGGGAGATCCATGGGTCAGGCTGGGAAGGGGAGGATCCTGGGCATTTAGGATCCCTGGCTTTAGTGGGACCACTTGAAAAAAAAATCATGTTCCATCAGTTGGTCTTAACAGGGAAGGGAAGGGAAGGGAAGGGAAGGGAAGGGAAGGGAAGGGAAGGGAAGGGAAGGGAAGGGAAGGGAAGGAAGGAAAGGAAAGGAAAGGAAAGGAAAGGAAAGGAAAGGAAAGGAAAGGAAAGGAAAGGAAAGGAAAGGAAAGGAAAGGAAAGGAAAGGAAAGGAAAGGAAAGGAAAGGAAAGGAAAGGAAAATAATAGAGTAGAGTAGAGTAGAAGGGGAGGGGAAGAGAAGGAAAGGAAAGGAAAGGAAAGGAAAGGAAAATAATAGAGTAGAGTAGAAGGGAAGGGGAAGGGAAAGGAAGGAAAGGGAAGGGAAGGAAAGGAAAGGAAAGGAAAGGAAAATAATAGAGTAGAATAGAAGGGAAAGGAAGGAAAGGGAAGGGAAGGGAAGGAAAGGAAAGGAAAGGAAAGGAAAGGAAAGGAAAATAATAGAGTAGAGTAGAAGGGAAGGGGAGGGGAAGAGAAGGGAAGAGAAAAGAGAAGAGAAGAGAAGAGAAAAAGAAAAAGTGGATTTATGTCTGCTCCTCTCATTTACAACCATTATGACATTTCTATAGTTGCAGGATCAAAATTCAGGCACTTGACAATATCTGGTGTCCTGGGGTCATGTGATTAGCATTTTACACCTTCTCAGTTAGTTTCTGACAAGCAGAGATCACGAGAGAAGGCGGGTCAATTAATGACATGGGATTCGCTTTAAAAACGGCAGTGATTTGCTAAATAACCATCACAAAAAGGTCATAAAAATTGAGTGCGGCTCATTTAACAACTACCTAGCTTGGCAAAGGCAATGATGGCCATAAGTTGAGGATTGCCTGCAGTGGATTTTCATTATGGGATGCCTCAGAACTGCATACAGATATCTTGGGTAAAATAGCCACTAATAAAGAAAACCATTTAGCCCTTAATGCTCCGAAATAACGAGAGTTGTCAGCACTTCAACATGCATTTACTCTAGTGCTGACATAAGAAGGAGAAGAGGGGGCAGCTGGCAAGAGGACGCTTGACTTCTCACCTCCTTATTTTCCCTGAAGATAATATCCCCTAGGAGATGAGATGGGAGGGGGGACATTCCTGGGAGCTGAAGTAGTAGATATGGGGAGAGTGATTTGGAAGAGGGCCAATGAGACGCAGAGAATTGGGGAACGGAAAGGGAAGGTTTGGGGTCAGGAAGTCAGTGTTGGCTACGCCACAATTGGGGACAGGTTGTCGTGCTTAATAAAACGAAATATTTCTTCAAAGACTATTTGTTTGGAAATGCAATTTATTTTATTTGAGACGACATCGAAACCTGACAGAGAGGTCCTTCTACTGAGCTGGTTCGGCATGGAGTGAATGGGATGGCCTTGTGTTGAGCAAGAGGACAAGTTGAAAAATCCTCCCTGTATTTCTTAGCGGGTGAGATCCTGGGGTGTTTGACTACTCCCCCTTCATTCTTCTCCTACAGACTGGCTTCACCCCTCTTCACATCGCAGCACATTACGAGAATCTCAACGTGGCCCAGCTTCTACTCAACCGTGGAGCAAGTGTCAATTTCACCCCCCAGGTAGGTGCAGAGCGCATGCCGATGCTGTAGCACCGGATTTCCTAACCGTGGCCATTTCCAGGAATAGGGACTTCAACTCCCAGAATTCCATAGCCAGCAGAGAATTGCTGAGAATTCTGGGAGTTGAAGTCTACTCACCTTCAAATTGCCAAGGGCAGTGATGGCTAACCTTTTTGCCGTCGCAGGCCAAAAGCGGGGGGAGCGCGGGGGAGGGGGGTCATACACATGCGTGCCCACACCCATAATTAAATGCCCCCTGGCCCCCACGCATGTGTGTGCGACCCCGCACGCAACCCCCACTTTGGGCACGTGATGGCACAGTGGGCCTGGTAGGCCCGTTGTTTGCCCTCCCCAGGCTCCAGAGGCTTTCTAGGAGCCTGGAGAGGGTGAAAACGGCCTTCCCCACCTGTTCTGTCCCCGTCTCACACACGCACACAAACAGACAGCCGGGGGTTAAATAAACTGGCAGACAACCAATTCTTTCGATAAGAAGCTTGGCAGCAACCCAGTAGCTGCTTGCCAAGAACTTTTACTCAATAAACAAAATACACACCGTTCGAGAGTAGTCCAGTTCGTAAAATAAATCCAAGGCAGATAATGTTGTTTCCAAAGATGCAATGTGACCTGATAGTAGTTAGTTTTGTCCGTCACAGAGTCTGAATGGCCACCTCACCCCCTTTTATACCCTGTGGGGTGTGGTCCAGTGACTCAGCCTAATCTCTGGCACGCCTTTTCTTCTGTTGCGCGCGCTTATCTCTGCGACGCTGCTGAGGATCCAGCCAAGACTCATTTCCCTCATCACTGTCCACCTGTGGCTGCGTGGACGTTCTTGGCCCCGTCCCTATCTCTTGCCCTTCGGCGGACACCGAAGGCATTTCCAGAGAGGAGGGTCCTGGAGAGGGAGGCCTTGCCAACTCCTCTCCTTCACTCTCGGAGTCCTCTCCTGCCGATGACACAGGCTCAGGTAACGGAGCCACAACACCTCCCCCCAGAGGCCCTCCAGGTGGGCCTGGAAGGCCCGAAAATCAGTTGGCCAATGTGCGCATGCACGCTGGAGCTGAGCTAGGGCAATGCTTGCGTGCCCACAGATATGGCTCCACATACCAAGGGTGTGTTAGAAACGAACAATTAGACCTACACTTGAAGAGGTCAAACTAACTACTTGATAAAGGAGAATATTGGTAGCTCAGGGTTGAAATGGAGAATCCTTGGTGATCTCTCTCTCTCTCTCTCTCTCTCTCTCTCTCTCTCTCTCTCTCTCTCTCTCTTTCAAAATTTTATATTTTTATTCATAAACATTTTGAATGCAGTGTATTGTTAGGGTATACCATTTACAAAAATACAAAAACAAAAAAAAAGGACCAGAGAAAAGACAGTAATAAACATTAACAAATGTACTGATAACAATAGTAATAATATCTTAACACATGTACTGATAACAATAGTGATAATATACCCAAATAATTTTAACTAAGTTTCTTTTTATATTAGCTTGACATGCTTGGATATTGGGTGCTATCTAACAAAATGAAATTCAACCGTGAAAAAAGCAAGGTTCTACCTTTAGGGAAGAAAAACCAAATGCACAGGTACCGTATATGTGGTACCTCGCTCAATAGCAGTAACTGTGAGAGGGATCTTGGAGTCCTAGTGGACAACCATTGAACTATGAGCCAGCTGTGTGCAGCAGCTGCCAAAAAAGCCAACACAGTTCTGGGCTGCATCAACAGAGGGATAGAATCAAGATCACGTGAAGGGTTAATATCACTTTATAAGGCCTTGGTAAGGCCACACTTGGAATCCTGTATTCAGTTTTGGTCGCCACGATGTAAAAAAGATTTGAGACTCTAGAAAGAGAGCAGAGAAGAGCAACAAAGAGGATTAGGGGACTGGAGGCTAAAACATATGAAGAACGGTTGTAGGAACTGGGTATGTCTAGTTTAATGAAAAGAAGGACTAGAGGTGACATGATAGCAGTCTTCCAGTATCTCAGGGGCTGCCCCAAAGAAGAGGGAGTCAAGCTATTCTCCAAAGCCCCTGAAGGCAGGACAAGAAGCAATGGGTGGAAACTACTCAAGGAGAGAAGCAATTTAGGACTACAGAGAAATTTCCTGACAGTGAGAATAATTAATAAGTGGAACAACTTGCCTGCAGAAGTTGTGAATGCTCCAACACTGGAAGTTTTTAAGAAGATGTTGGATAACCATTTGTCTGAAGTGATGTAGGGTTTCCTGCCTAAGCAGGGGGTTGGACTAGAAGACCTCCAAGGTCCCTTCCAACTCTGTTATTCTGTTCTGTTCTGTTCTGTTCTATTCTAGCTTATTTACAATTTTGTTCAGTATATTGGCATGATCGTAGTGATAGACCAATATTTATTTTTAATACATTCATAGTCTTTCTTCCTCTAATTTCTACCTCTTGTCTCTAACCACTCATAAAATCTATTCCATATCAGCTAATATCCTGTGTCTTCTTTTATCTTTTATTTGTAAGGTTAGTCCGTCCATTTCAGCACAATGCTTGGTGCTCCCTGAGCTTGGTTGTGGATTATTATTATTATTTTTTGCAGATATCTTATTATCAGTCTAAGTAACATCATCAGCGGTAGTAAGGAGTGGAGTTTGCTCTCAATGTATAGTCCAGTGGCTTGCCTTAACAAGTGTTGGTGGGAGTGCAGAGCTCAAACTAACTACTTTATTACGTTCTGCCTATACTACAAGAATCTGCCCTGTCTGGCAACCTGCCCTTGGTAATAATTAGTTAAGTCTCCAAAGAACTTAGAGTGGGTCACTCCTAGCCCTTTTTTGGTCACACAGGGACTTCAGACTAACTCCATGCATGATCCCTCCTCCCTGCCAGGTTGGGAAATACTGTTGTGGAAGATGCTTTGAGTCTTATCCCCGTGTGGGGTGGGAAAAACCCAAGTCCAGAACAGAACACCAGGGGAGGAACCCTTTTCCGAAGTAACATAAATACCCAAACTTTTTTTTAAAAAAATAAGTCCTTGTGTGTAGAAAAACAGTCTCCCTCCCCCCTTTGGAGGGCAGTGAACATAAGACATCGGAGTGAGTGAGCTACTGTTCATAGACCTGGTGTTGATTTTTGGAGGTTTTGGTTTGGCCAAGCAGGGAAGGAGTAAATAACAATAGCAATAGCACTTAGACTTATATACCGCTTCACAGAGCGGTTTGCAGAGTTGTTAGGATATGGTTTGAGCCTAACAAGTTGTCCAGGCAATATAAGTGTACTGTAAGCATCTTGTCAGCATCTTGCCCCCAATAATCTGGGTCCTCATTTTACCGACCTCGGAAGGATGGAAGGCCGAGTCAACCTTCAGCCAGTCAGGATTGAACTCCTGGCAGCGGGCAGAGTTTGCCTGCAATACTGCATTCTAACCACAGAGTAGGAGGGAGGGAGGGAAAGAAAGAAGGGAAGGAAGGAAGGAAGGAAGGAAGGAAGGAAGGAAGGAAGGAAGGAAGGAAGGAAGGAATAGCACTTAGACTTATATATCGCTTCACAGCGCTTTAGTTTAGTTTAGTTTAGTTTAGTTTAGTTTAGTTTAGTTTAGTTTAGTTTAGTTTATTGTCATTGCACCTCGTACAATGAAATTAAATGCCATCTTTACAGCCCCTCTCTAAGCGGTTTACAGAGTCAGCTTCTTGCCCCCAACAATCTGGGTTCTCATTTTTTTTTTTTTTATTTGATTTATATGCCGCCCTTCTCCGAAGACTCAGGGCGGCTTACAATGTGCTCAGCAATAGCCTTCATCCTTTTGTATATTTATACAAAGTCAGCTTATTGCCCCCACAAACTGGGTCCTCATTTCACCTACCTTAGAAAGGATGGAAGGCTGAGTCAACCTTGAGCCTGGGGAGATTTGAACCCTGCAGTAATTGCAGGCAGCTGGTCTTAATAAGCTTAATAACAGGGTGCCTTAAACCCCTGTAGTACCAAGGCTCTCTTTTTTTACCGACTTCGGAAGGATGGAAGGCCGAGTCAACCATGAGCCGGTCAGGATCGAACTGCGGGCAGTGGGCAGAATTAGCCTGCAAAACTGCATTCTAACCACTGCGTCGTCACGGATCTCTTAAAGCACCTCTTTTGCTGCTAAATGGAAAACAGTGGGTTTTATTTTAGGGAGGGGACAAATTTACTGTTTTTTCAAAGAGTCAAAAGGGATTCCGGCGCCAGTTGGATTGCCCGAAAACAAACATGCCACTCTAATTGTACTCTGGCCATCACGTCCTGCAGGGTACAGCAGTTTCCTGGCAGAGATCTCACCTCATTTCTTTCCCCCCCCTCTCTCTGCCCCCATAGAATGGCATCACCCCACTGCACATCGCCTCTCGACGCGGCAACACCGTAATGGTGCGGTTGTTGCTTGACCGGGGAGCTCACATTGAGGTTCGCACTAAGGTAAGTGTGCCACCAGATGGATTGCGTGGAGGAGACTGGAACAGAGAGAGACGTTTGCCGAGAAGCACAACAGCACAAAGTTTGTCAAGAAGCACCGCATCCTTCACAGGGATTGCTAAGTTGCATGAACAGAGGGATACAATCAAGATCAAGGGAGGTACTAATACCACTCTACAAAGCCTTAGTAAGACCACACCTAGAGTACTGCATCCAGTTTTGGTCACCACACTATTAAAAAGATGTTGAGACTCTAGAAAGAGTGCAGAGAAGAGCCACAAAGATGATTAGGGGACTGGAGGCTAAAACATACAATGAACGGTTGCAGGAACCGGGCGTGGCTAGTCTAGTGAAGAGAAGGACCAGGGGAGACACGAAAGCAGTCTTCCAATATTTGAGGGGCTGCCACAGAGAGGAGGAAGGGGGTCAAGCTATTTTCCAAGGCACCCGAAGGCCAGACAAGCAATAATGGATGGAAACTGATCAAGGAGAGATTCAACCTGGAAATAAGGGGAAATTTGTTGACAGTGAGAACAATCAACCCATGGAACAGAAGTTGCCTTCGGAAGTTGTGGGAGCTTCATCATTTGAGACTTTCAAGAAAAGATTGGACTGCCATTTGTCAGAAATGGTGTAGGGTCTCCTGCTTGGGCGGGGGGTTGGACTAGATGACCTCAGAGATCCCTTCCGACTCTGTTAAGTTGGCGAGGGAGATCCAGAGGGACAACAGAGAATAGAATAACTTTATGGTCACTCTGAAGGTACACTAATGGGCATGCATAAAAAATGAAATTTCGTTGCTTGCAGCTCTCAAAGGGTTCCCACCTCCAAGAGCACACTAACATAAACACAACAAGATAAATAAATAACTACAAAATTATGCATATACCCACATATATTATGATAGGACACAGAGAAACAACACAATCTAGTTCAGATGTATACATGTACAGGGCAAGAAAAAATGAATCTTGCGAGTTTGCCAGACGGATGGATGGCCTAGGGCAGTGATGGCTAACTTTTTTGCGTCGCGTGCTAAAAGCGGGGGGAGTGGGGGGGGTGTCGCGGCTGCATGCCCACACCCCTAATTCAATGCACCCCGCCCCCCCCACGCATGCGTGTGTGACCCCCCCTGCGCGCTTTTGGCATGCGAAGGCACGGTGGGCCTGGTAGGCCCGTTTTTCACCTTCCCCAGGCTCCAGAGACTTTCTTGGCACCTGGGAAGGGTGAAAACAGCCTTCCCACCTCCCGAGGCCCTCTGGAGGCAGGAAATGCCCTCCCAGAGTTTCCATGTAAGCCCTGTACTTACCTGGCATCCAAAACAGGCCGCGTGGAGACTCTTGGGAGGAGAGGGGCAGCGTGGGCGGGGCCAGCTGAAAATCAGCTGTCTGGCATGTGCGCTGGAGCTGAACTAGGGCAACAGCTCATGTGGCCACGGATATAGCTCTGCCTACCACCTGTGGCATGCGTGCCATAAGTTCGCCATCACGGAGCTAGGTTCTTCCAACAGCGCTCAGTTGGTGTGCTAATAACAGCATTGCAGGGTATAAAAACCTATGAAATATGTATTGATTCATGCCACACCTTTTAAAGTGCTACCGTTTCAACAGGATGAATTGACCCCGTTACACTGTGCCGCCCGCAATGGGCATCTGCGAATTGCTGAAATCTTGCTGGACCACGGAGCGCCCATCCAAGCAAAGACCAAGGTGAGAAGCCTGGAGAAATATTGTACACGTGTACATGGCGGGAGAAACGAACCTTGCGAATTTACCAGACAGATGTCCTAGGGAACAAAGCTGTTGTAGAATCTGGAAGTCCTGCTAGAAATCCTTCAAAACCTCCTCCCAGAAGGGAGCAACAGAAAGAGACCATGGAGTGGGTGTGTGGGGTTTCTAACAATGCTTCGAGCTCTAAGCACATAGTGCTTATAAGCAGCATTCTGAATCACAGGAAGGGAGCTTCCTAGAATCTTCTCCACTGTCCTCACCACTCTCTGTAGGGACTTTCTATCTGAGACGCTGCTGCCATCAAACCAAACAGGGATGCAGTTTGTTAAAATGCTCTCAATTGTTCCTCTGTAAAAAGTGGCCAGGACAGGAGGAGAAAGATGTGCTCTCCTCTGTCAGAGTGGCAATCAGCCCCGTTACCTTCCTGGGGTAATTGCCTGAGTTAGAGGTGAATCGTGGCATTTTCCTTGTGTATACTTTTTGCAAGAAAATAAACCCGAAGATATATTTTCTAAGAAAAACTCATTTATTTGTTATAAAGAAAATAAAACATCTCACTAATCTAATTAGTTACATCTTGGCAACGTTCCTGCCGGACCTCTCTTGGCAGGAGAACAAAGAAAGTTTTGAGAAGAAAGTAAGAATGTAGACATGCGCAGTTAGCTTAAAGATAAGAAACTTGGCAAGCTACGGTAAGTCTGAAAGTCCAAAAATAATAGCTCATCTGGTAAATACAAAAAACGCAGTGACATCCTCATCCAACGCAGGAAATGCAGACGCTGGTTTGCACGCTTGCCTATTCCCTAAGTACCCCTTACGAGGCCATTCCGTGCTCATCCTTCTTTCCTTGTTCTAGAATGGCCTCTCCCCCATCCACATGGCCTCCCAAGGTGACCACTTAGACTGTGTGCGGCTTCTGCTGCAGTATAACGCCGACATTGATGACATCACATTGGATCACTTGACCCCACTGCATGTGGCTGCCCACTGTGGCCACCACCGGGTGGCCAAAATCCTGCTCGATAAGGGCGCCAAGCCTAATGCGCGGGCCCTGGTGAGTAGAGGCCAGCGAAATAAAGGTGAGGCCAGGCAGATACCTGCACTGCATCGCTGATTGGTCTCCTTTCCCTGCAGAATGGCTTCACTCCGTTGCACATAGCCTGTAAGAAGAACCACATCAGGGTGATGGAACTTCTTCTGAAGACGGGGGCCTCCATCGACGCCGTGACGGAGGTAACGGAGCCTCATGGGTTCAGGAATCTACTGATTTCTGTAGAGCTGGCCTCAAGTAAATGACAGTTTCTAACTACAGTATAGAGACACGGATGGAGACAAATACAGAGTTAGGATTCATTTATTTTCCTCTCGTTTTTCTCTCGCCAGTCGGGTCTCACTCCTCTTCACGTGGCCTCCTTCATGGGAAACCTTTCTATCGTCAAGATCTTGCTCCAACGGGGAGCATCTCCCAATGTTTCCAACGTGGTGAGCAAAAAATTAAGTGACTTAATTTCGATCGTTTCTTTCGAACAATTTATACGGCTCTAGCTGGACGTTCCAGGCATGGGTTTCATCCCATCCAGTTTCGGTAACGGCAACAATGTCATACTTAATCAATTAAATTAATTAATTAAACTAATCGGTTAGCTTAATTGATTTTGAAGCTTAATTTTAAACTTTCATTAGGTAATTAATTAACTAATTAATGAAACAATTGATCAATGGAACAGCTTGCCTTTGGAAACGGCGTGTGCTCTATCGCTGGAAGTTTTTAAGAAGAGATTGGACAGCCATTTGTCCAGAATGGTATACGGTCTCCTGCTTGAGCGGGGGGTTGGACTAGAAGACCTCGCAAGGTCCCTTCCAACTCAGTTATTCTGTAATCAAAAAATGTCTTGAGAAGGGTCAAAACCAGGGGTGGGTTTAGCAAGGTGTTTTCTGCCTGGTTGCTGGGTGGGCGTGGCCATGGTGGGGGTGACCTAGTCAGCCTCCTGCACCATGGCAGGGGAGGGGGTGTTTTTTTGCCCTCCCCAGGCTCCGGAGGCTTTTCTTGAGCCTCCGGGAGGGCAAAAACGGCCTCCCCAGGCTCCGGAGGCCCCCTGGAGGCTGGAAATGGGCCTGAACTTCAGATGGGCCCGTTTTTCACCCTCCCTGAGCCTCTGCACGCACTCTGCACTTACCTGCACCCAAAACGGGCCACGTGGGGACTCCTGGGAGGGGAGGGGCAGAGCCAGCCAGGAATGGGATTTGGGGGTTCTCTGAACTGCACAAAATCTTAGCTAGAGGTTCTCCCAAACCCCTGCGAACTCCCAGCAGTCCTTCCCTGGTCAAATTCACAAGAAAAAATTAGGAGGATATAAGCAAGATTTGTTTTAGTGGAGAAATGCACTTAATGTCTTTTTTCCTCCTCTATATCTGAATATATCTGCGCTGCGTTTTTGGAAACGGCCAAATATTATTTATTTGGCTTCCCGGTCTGACCCTGTGTAGCTTTTGGAGATGAAAATGTTCTTCAGGGGAAAAAAAGCAGACAATCTCCTCATCCAGCGGTGGGATTCAGCCGGTTCGTCACCACTTCGGGAGAACCGGTTGTTAACTTTCTGAGCAGTTTGGCAAACTGGTTGTTGGAAGAAATCATTAGGGCAGACAACCGGTTGTTAAATTACCTGAATCGCACCACTGCCCTCACCTGAATCTTTCCGTCTTTGAATTCTGAAGGAGGCTGATGGGAATTTTTCTCAGCTCCGAATGTTCTCTGATTTTTCTTCTTCTATTGGCACAGAAAGTAGAGACGCCCCTCCACATGGCTGCTCGGGCCGGGCACAGCGAGGTAGCAAAGTATCTACTCCAGAACAAAGCCAAGGTCAATGCCACAGCGAAGGTGGGTACCTGTCTGTCTTTGGGATTTATTTATTTTATTATTCATATTTCTATGCCGCCCACTCTCCGAGGACTCTGGGCGGCTTACACCAAAAACAGTATACTAAATAGCGTATTGCCCCCCAACAATCTGGGTCCTCATTTTACCCACCTCGGAAGGATGGAAGGCTGAGTCAACCTTGAGCCGGTGAGATTTGATCCGCTGAACTAGCAGTCAGCTGAAGTAGCTGCAGTACTGCACCCTAACCACTGCGCCACCTCGGATTAATAAATCCCAGTGAATGGATGGATGGCTTCTTCCCTTCTTAGTGGCTGCATGTGGGAGGAAAACAGGGAGAGCTGGGAGGTGGGGTTAAACGAGGCATCAGCCTAGTGTCATTACATGGCCACAAACAGTTCAAGTCCAACCCCTCTTGAATTCCGTTATCTGGAACTGAGTTAGTGTTGAAATTTAATTGACTAGATTTAGTTGACCCCCTTTTGAGTGGCGTGGAAATAGGAATGGATTTCCAGAGGGGAGAAATTGCAGACTACAGGAACCATTTGCACCACTCAGGTGACACTGAGGACACAGAGAAACCTCCAAGTGGCCTCAACGACCCTCTAAAAAGATGCAAATGACCAGCTGTCTGCAAGGAGTATAAATCCTTCCATTCCCCACCATCCAGTCAGAGCTGAAGAAGCTTCTGGGATGAGAAGCGAAACGTCTTCAAAAGCAAAACACAAGAAAATCCAGTTGCCTCCTGAAAAAAATCACCTTTGGGATAGTTAACTAGATTCTTCTGTAGATTCTTCCGAACCTGGCAACTTTAAGACTTGTGGATTTCAACTCCCAGAATTCTTCAGCCAGCCATGTTGCCAAGTTTGGAAACCCCTGGAATCATGAGATGGCTTGAAGGACACAAATTATGAAGTTCTTCGTGTGTTGCCGCAACTCATTGGATCAAAAACCAACCTGTTTGTAGCCTAGTGACTTCCTCGTACGAGACAGTTTCGTGTCCTTCCTTCTTTGGGGCAGCGTGGAAAAGGCAGGCCATTCAGGCAGGGCCACGCAACAAGCTAGGATGAGACAGGTGTGTCTTTTCTCCTTTCAGGATGATCAGACGCCGTTGCACTGTGCCAGCCGCCTCGGGCACTGCACCATGGTCAAGCTGCTCCTGGAGAGCGGCGCCGATGCTAACCTCTCCACCACCGCTGGACACGCGCCACTGCACATCACGGCCCGCGAGGGGCACCTGGATTGTGTTTGTGCTCTCCTAGACAAAGAGGCATCCCAGACTGCCATGACTAAGGTTGAGAAAGAAGGTCTTCCCTTCCCTTCCCTTCTTCCTTTCCTTTCCTTTCCTTTCCTTTCCTCTCCTCTCCTCTCCTCTTCCTTCCCTTCCCTCCCCTTCCCTCCCCTTCTTCCTCTCCTCTCCTCTCCTCTTCCTTCCCTTCCCTTCCCTCCCCTTCCCTCCCCTTCTTCCTTTCCTTTCCTCTCCTCTCCTCTCCTTTCCTTTCCCTTTCCTTCCTTCTCTTCCCTTCCCTTCCCATCCCTTCTTCCTTCTCCTCCCTTCCCTTCCCTCCCTCCTCTTCCTCCTTCCTTTCCTTCCCTTCCCTTCCCTCCCCTTCCCTCCCCGTCTTCCTTTCCTTTCCTTTCCTTTCCTTTCCTCTCCTCACCTCTCCTCTCCTCTCCTCTCCTCTCCTCTCCTCTCCTCTCCTCTCCTCTTCCTTCCCTTCCCTTCCCTTCCCTTCCCTTCCCTTCCCTCCCCTTCTTCCTTTCCTCTCCTCTCCTCTCCTCTCCTTTCCTCTCCTCTCTTCTCCTCTCCTCTTCCTTCCCTTCCCTTCCCCCCTCTTCCCTTAACAACTATCTTGCTTAGCAATATAAATTTTAGTTCAATTACCATCGTAAATTGAGGATTACCTGTATTCTTGCTGGAAGGCAGATTCTGCAGTTGGGGTGGGTGGGATCTGAGTGGGCAGAGAGGTGTGGGCCAGCCAGCGTGGGGTGCCCCAGAGAAGGGCCCTCCCATTGTCCCCAGTTGCTGACACTCCCTGTTTCTCCCCAGAAAGGATTTACCCCTCTGCACGTTGCTTCCAAATACGGGAAGGTGGATGTAGCCGAGGCTCTCTTGGAACGCAACGCACAACCCAACGCGGCCGGGAAGGTGCGTATCAGGATCCGGCCTCACGGCGGCTGGGAGGTGCCACTACTGCCCTCGGTGAGTCCTCTTATGTTGTTCCTGCCTCCTCCACAGAATGGACTAACGCCTCTGCACGTTGCCGTCCACCACAACAACTTGGACATTGTGAAAGTGCTGCTCCCCAAGGGGGCATCTCCGCACAGCGTGGCCTGGGTAAGAGGCATGTCGAGACAGGGGCCCCCTCCTGGCCGCCTTTTGGGGAAGGGGGACTGCAAGGATGCCCTGAAGGCAGTAATTACAGGGCCCTGTCCCGCCACCCGTCTGCAGCACAGGGCAACCTCCATGCACATATGAGACTCTGGAGGTTTTGGGAGAGAGGTCTCAGTGGTCTCTGCTTTCCCCTCCCTCTCTTAAGCTCACCCAAAACACCCAAAAAAGCAGGCAGGCATGCAGGCAGGCAGGCAGGGAAGGAAAGAAGGAAGGAAGGAAGGAGAAAGGAAGGAAGGAAGGAAGGAAGGAGAAAGAAAGGAAGGGAAGAAGGAAGGAAGGAGAAAGGAAAGAAGGAAGGGAAGAAGGAAGGAAGGAAAGAAAGGAAGGGAAAGGAAGAAGGAAGGAAGGAAAGAAAGGGAAGGAAGGAGAAAGAAAGGGAAGAAGGAAGGGAAGAAGGAAGGAAGGAAGGAAAGGAAACGAGAAAGAAGGAAGGAAAGAAGGAAGAAAGAGAAAGAAAGAGGGAAGGAAGGAAGGAGACAGAAAGGAAATAAGGAAGAAGGAAGGAAAATAAGAAAAAGGAAAGGAAGGGAAAAAGGAAGGAGAAAAGAAAGAAGGAAGGGAAGAAGGAAGGAAAGAAAGGAAGGGAAGGGAAGAAGGAAGGAAGGAAAGAAAGAGGGAAGGAAGGAGAAAGAAAGGGAAGAAGGAAGGGAAGAAGGAAGGAAGGAAAGGAAACAAGGAGAAAGAAGCAAGGAAAGAAGGAAGGAGAGAAAGAAAGAAAGAGGGAAGGAAGGAGAAAGAAAGGAAATAAGGAAGAAGGAAGGAAAGGAAGGGAAGAGAAAGAAAGGGAAGAAGGAAAGGAAGACGGAAGGAAGGAAGGAAGGAAAGTAAGGGAAGGAAGGAGGGAGGGAGGGAGGAAGGAAGGAAGGAAGGAAGGAAGGAAGGAAGGAGCATGTTTTGGAGAATAGGTCAAATATTCTCTGTGGCATCCTCTCACATATTGGAAGACTGCTAAGTCTTCTCATTGTTAGGGTAGACGTACCCAATTCCCTTAACTGGTCATCATACAGTTTCACTTCCAGTCTCTGGGAGCTTCAACCATGCAAGAAGGGCTTGGTTCCAGCTCCTTGAGGACCAAACACGGTGGAGACTTCGGACCTTCTGATTTCTCTGCAACTTTCCTGCTGATCTCTCCCGCGACAGAACGGATACACCCCTTTGCACATCGCAGCCAGGCAGAACCAAATGGAGGTGGCTTGCAGCCTACTGCAATACGGTGCTTCCGCCAACGTGGAATCCACGCAGGGAATGACGCCGCTACATCTGGCGGCCCAGGAGGGCCACGCCGACATGGTGGTGCTGCTCCTTTCCAAGCAGGCGAATGGCAACCTTGGAAACAAGGTGAGTAGGTCCTTTTTCTTCGTTACCTCCTCGGAAAGATGGCGGTGGACATGGGGGAAGGGTTGAGGGGACCACGGAGTTCGTTGCAATCTGTTCGGTGATTTTTCCACTATTTTAAGCGTACCCCCAGGTGCCCAGGATAACCTGTAACCTTCTGCATGTGAAGTCTGACCTCTCCATCATGGTGTTCTTCTTCTTTTTCTTGTTTCTTGTTTATATTTATATACCGCCCTTCTCCCGAAGGACTCGGGGCGGTGAACAGCCAACAGATAAAACACAAGAAACACAAAATTTAAAAACAGTATTAAAATCCGATTAAATTAATTTGGCCCACAATTAAAAGCATCCCTGTATTAAAACCCATAATTAAACAGTTTAAAAATTTAAAGAGTCGGAAACGACTAGCACATATGTGCGAGGGGAACCTTTACTTTTACTTAGGGATTAGCAACTGGATGGAATCTGTTGCTTTCTCCTATTTATTTGTAGGTTTTCTATAAATACCATCTTTTTGGCTACAGTTGAAGGAGATCAGATTATCTACTTACCAGCAGTATTCCTCTTTAGTTTGTACACTGCCAATTTTTTTTTTTTTTATTTTATTTTACTGAAAATAAAGATCTGCCCTGAGCCTTTTTGGCTTCTTTTCATTACAAAAATAAAATGAGACAGAGTGAGGAAATACCATCTGCTTTTGCTTCTGCTCCTTGGACTTTTTACTTGGCTCGTGAATAGCCCCGAGCTGTTGTAGGTTGTCCTCGAAACGCTACCCTCGGAGAATTTCCCCAAACAGAGACCCACAAACCACCTGCTGTGGCAAGAGTGACAAAGGATAGCACGCCATCTGGAAAGCTGTGGAAGGAAATAGCTCAACTTGCGGGCCTGATCTCAATCAGGATTTGAGCTATAGGAAATAGAATCATTTTGCTGGCTTTTGCAGATCCAGATTGAGCCCAGACGAATTTAGCTCTGACCTTGAGTGAATGGAATGGAATGGAATGGAATGGAATGGAATGGAATGGAATGGAATGGAATGGAATGGAATAGAATAGAATAGAATAGAATAGAATAGAATAGAATAGAATTCTTTATTGGCCAAGTGTGATTGGACACACTAGGAATTTGTCTTTGGTGCATACGCTCTCGGTGTACATAAAAGAAAAGATATGTTCATCAAGAATCATAAGGTATAACGCTTAATGATAGTCATAGGGAAACAGTCAATATAATCTTAAGGATACCACCAACAAGGTTACAGTCATATAGTCATAAGTGGAAAGAGATGGGTGATAGGAAGATGAGAAGATTAATAGTAGTGCAGACTTAGTAACTAGTTTGATAGTGTTGAGGGAATTATTTGTTTAGCAGAGTGATGGCGTTCGGGAGAAAAGTGTCCTTGTGTCTAGTTGTTCTGGTGTGCAGTGCTCTATAGAGCTAGACATTCTACTCCCTCTCCCTACCTGAAAAGAACTCTGTTCCAACTGCCAGTTGCCTTATATTAACACGCTCTGATGCTACCCCTTCGCTAAACCGGGCGTGGGCGTGGCCAGCATGTGACTCAGCTGGCCTGTGGGCTGGGACATTCTACTCCCCCTCCCCTCTGTTCCAAGTGCCAGTTGCCTTATATTAATTAACACGCTCTGATGCTATGGAGTTACACATTCTACATTAAGTTTCAGGGTTTAAGTGTCAATTGATTAAGCTCGAACACATAAAAGCATGGGCGTCCAGCTAGTTCATCATATAACTTGGTTTATGTGTAATCTGCATGGTATTCTACAAAGAGAAGTTGCAATCTGTCCAATATTGGCTCTCATGACCAAGTCGAAGAGACCTTGGAGGTCATCCAGTCCAACCCCTTGCTCAAGCAGGAGACCCTATGCCATGCCAGACAAATGGTTGTCCCGTCTCTTCTTAAAAACCTCCAATGAGGGAGCACCCACAACTTCTGAAGGGGAAAGCCTTTTCACTGATGAATTGTTCTTTGTCAGTAAATGTCTCCTTGAATATAAGAATGTAGAGAATGGCTGGATCATTTCTCTCTACGGGAAGGGTCGTTTCTCTGTGATCCTGGCTAGATTCCCTTTCCTGAAGTTATCCAGAAATCAATCAATCAATCAATCAATCAATCAATCAATCAATCAATCAGAATAGAGCTGGAAGACAATATGCAGGGATGAAAGCCTGGTGAGCATCTTCATAGGACCAATGTCTATGGAGATTCTCAATCATGGTTGTCCCAAAGGAGCTCTTTTCAAGAAGCAACTGGACTTTTGTAGGGTTTTTTTTTTTTGAAGGCGTTTTGCTTCTCATCCAAGAAGCTTCTTCAGGTCTGATAGGAGGATCAGTTTCCAGTGTCACTGTGTTTTTTTATTTACCAGCTGAGCTCTCATTTCGGGACTATCAAACTTTCCGTAGCTTGCCAAGAATTGTTATCAGTAAACTAAACTGCGCATGTCTCTCTCCACCCCATTCCTTCTCACACTTTTCTTTCTTCTCTTGCCAAGAGACGTCCGGCTGCTGAGAAGTAGCCAATAAGAACTTTTGCAAAAATGTAACAATTAATTTTTTTAGACAGTTAGATGTTTTATTTTCTTTATAACAAATAAATGAGTTTTCTTAGAAGATATATCTTCTGGTTTATTTTCTTAAAGTATGCTGGCAAGGAAAGGTCTCGATCCACTCCTCTTAATCAAGGTGCGATTATCCCAAAAGCAGAATGGGATTAATCAGCACCCTGACACCTGGTAGCAGAGGATGGTTTCGATCCATCGACCTCTTAATCAAGGTGCGATTATCCCAAAAGCAGAATGGGATTAATCAGCACCCTGACATCCAGATTCTTCTTTGGGCAACTTGGATTGTTTTTCATTCCAGAGCGGCCTCACCCCCCTCCACCTGGTGGCCCAAGAAGGACACCTCCAGGTGGCAGACAACCTGCTCAGGCATGGAGTCCAAGTGGACGCAACGACTCGGGTGAGTCCCCTTCCATCATCCCACAAGACCAGTGGGAGGAGCCAGTCCCCCAGTGGGAAGAGCCAGCCCCCCAGTGGGAGGAGCCAGTCCCCCAGTGGGAGGAGCCAGAGAATTCCTAGCAAGGGGACAAATTATATTATATCCCCTTTCTCTCAGTCTTAACCCACACAAGACTGAGAGAAAGGGGATATAATGAGCTGAGTTGAGATTGCTTGTCCCGATGGTTTACCTCCAATCTTGCAAAGATGGGGAGGCCATAATATTTATTTTATTTGTTTGTTTATTTGTATTGTATCCTGCCTTTATTGTTTGTTTGTTTTTAAATAACTCAAAGGATGCAAACATATCCAACTCACCTTCTTCCTCCTGTTTTCCCTACAACAACAACCGTTTGAAGTAGGCTGGGCTGAAAAAAAGTGACTGGCACAAAGTCACCCAGCTGGCTTTCAGAATAGAATAGGCTAGAGCTGGAAGGGACCTTGGAGGTCTTCTAGTCCAGCCCCCTGCTCAAGCATTTCATATACCATTTCAGATAAGTGATTGTCTCTAGTCTCTTTTTAAAAACCTCCAGTGATGGAGCATCCCACGATTTCTGAAGGCCTCAGGCGGGACTAGAACTCACCCTCTCCTGGTTCCAGAGCGGGCTGTGGAGTTCGCTGGAGAAGCTGTGAGGCCTAGCAGTGATTGTGAGGTCTATCTTTGTTTATTTTTGTCTTTCAGATGGGCTACACCCCGTTGCATGTGGCTAGTCATTATGGGAATATCAAGCTGGTGAAATTTCTGCTCCAGCATCAGGCTGATGTCAATGCCAAAACCAAGGTATGGGACAGAACCAAGGGTGTGAAATCCAGCAGGTTCCAACAGGTTCTGGAGAACCCGTAGCGGAAATTTTTGAGTAGTTCGGAGAACCGGCAAATACCACCTCTGGCTGGCCCCAGAGTGGGGAGGGAATGGGGATTTTGCAATATCCTTTCCCCAGGAGTGGGAAGGGAATGGGGATTTTGCAGTGTCCTTCCCCCAGGAGTGAGGAGGGAATGGGGATTTTGCAGTGTCCTTTCCCAGGAGTGAGGAGGGAATGGGGATTTTGCAGTGTCCTTCCCCCAGGAATGGGGAAGGAAAAGGGATTTTGCAGTATCCTTCCCCTGGAGTGGGGAGGGAATGGGGATTTTGCAATATCCTTTCCCCAGGAGTGGGGAGGGAATGGAGATTTTGCAGTATCCTTCCTCTGTCATGCCCAGCAAGCCACACCACACCACGCCCAGCAAGCCACGCCCACAGAAGCAGTAGTAAAAAAATTTGAATTTCACCACTGGATAGGACCGTCCTCAGAGATGGGCAGATAAGGTCAAAAGAGTCAAGATGGAAGCCGCAACCAAGCTACTGAAGCCCTACCCCTTTTACGGATGGCGGAAGTCTTGACATGCCTACTGTTGGAGGGCCATGATGCCTTTTTCACTCCTCTGGTCTCTCTCTTTCTCTCTCTCTTTCTCTCTTCCCCCCCCTTTCAGCTGGGTTATACGCCTCTACACCAGGCGGCTCAACAAGGTCACACCGACATAGTCACCCTTTTGCTCAAGCACGGGGCGTCGCCCAACGAAGTCAGTTCGGTGAGTGTGGAAATCCAAGAGCCAGCTGTGTATGAGCCACAGCAGCCCACGGCCGGCTCGTCTTGCTAAGTTGATTGTCCCTTTGTGCACTCTGGTGGTATAATTTTATCAGGCTGCCAAATTCAGGTTCGGGGTAGAATTTGGAATGTGGTTTTGAACAATAGTTGAGACACAATCCCGTCAGGATTTGCATAATTGTGAAAGATCAGGCCTTCCTTCCTTCCTTCCTTCCTTCCTTCCTTCCTTCCTTCCTTCTCTCTCTTTCTTTCTCTCCTTCTTTCCTTCCTTCTTTTCTTCCCTCCCTCCCTCCTTCCTTCCTCTTTCTTTCTTTCTTTCTTTCTTTCCTCTCTCTCTCTCCTTCCTTCCTTCCTTCCTTCCCTCTCTCTCTCTCCTTCCTTCCTTCTTTCCTTTCTTTTCCTTCCTTCCTTCCTTCCCTCTCTCTCTTACTTTCTCTCCTTCTTTCCTTCCCTCCCTCCCTCCCTCCTTCCTCTTTCTTTCTTTCTTTCTTTCTTTCTTTCTTTCTTTCTTTCTCTTCCTTCCTTCCCTCTCTCTCTCCTTCCTTCCTTCCTTCCTCTTTCTTTCCTTCCTTCCTTCCTTCCTTCCTTCCTTCCTTCCTTCCTTCCTTTCTTTCTTTTTCTTCCTTCCTTCCCCCTCTCTCCTTCCTTCCTTCCTTCCTTCCTTCCTTCCTTCCTTCCTTCCTTTCTTTCTCTCTCTCTCTCTCTCTCTCTCTCTCTCTCTTTCTCTCTCTCTCTCTCTGTCCCTCCCTCCCTCCCTCCCTTCGTTCATACATTCAATATATAAAATACAAAGGAACATTGAAATAGGAAATTAGGGGAATGAGAAAGAGAGGGGAAAAGAAAGTGTGAAGTACAAGGCAAAAAAGAAAAAAAAAAAGCATTGACTTCCAACTCTTTTTAGCATAGTACAAGATAAAAACATCCCAGTTTCAACTTTTTACTTTTACACATCAGTATATAACTAGCCATTTCTATAATGACAAATCTATCTGATCGGCAAAACCAAAGTCAAAATTTCATATATATATTTTTTCATGCCAAATTCCAGAAGTGGTATCCAAGGGAACGACGTTTTTAAATGCATTCTCCTCTTCGAACAAAATGCTCGGTTTTAAACCATTCCTGCTTTATCTTCCTTGCTATGGAAATAGGATGCGTTTCTGTTTGCACCTAATAATCTTTGTGGAACTTCCACCCTTTTTATTAGCCAGGTTCACTTTCTATAAAATAGAATAACGGAGTTGGAAGGGACCTTGGAGGTCTTCTAGTCCAACCCCCTGCCGAGGCAGGAAACCCTACACCACTTCAGACAAATGGTTATCCAACCTCTTCTTAAAACCTTCCAGTGTTGGAGCATTCACAACTTCTGGAGGCAAGTAGTTCCACTGATTAATTGTTCTCACTGTCAGGAAATTTCCTCTTAGTTCTAGGTTGCTTCTCTCCTTGATTAGTTTCCACCCGTTGCTTCTTGTCCTGCCCTCAGTTGCTTTGGAGAATAGCTTGACTCCCTCTTCTTTGGGGCAGCCCCTGAGATATTGGAAAGAATAGTCGAGACCATTAGCTGCTCTAAATTCAGATTGCAGATTAATAGAATTGGAAGGGACCTTGTAGGTCATCTAGTCTGCTTTGGAGAATAGCCTGACTCCCTCTTCTTTGTGGAAACCCCTGAGATATTGAAACACTCTCTTTCTCTCTCTGTAGAATGGTGCCACCCCTTTGGCCATCGCCAAGCGGCTGGGGTACATTTCCGTCACCGATGTGCTGAAAGTTGTCACTGATGAAACCAGCTTCTTGGTAAGGTCCACCCTCAAGCCTGGTGTTTGTGTGTGTGTGTGAAGAGAGAGAGAGAGAGAGAGAGACGGGGCTTAGACCTTTGAGGCTCCCCTCCCACCTGACTTGTTGCTTCTTGCAGTCATTAAGCGATAAACATCGGATGAGCTTCCCAGAGACGGTGGATGAGATTCTGGATGTATCGGAGGATGAAGGTGAGGTGTGGGGAGGAGGGGGTGTTGCGTTGACATACTCACCAAAAATTGGGTTGGCAGGAGCATCCCTGAGATTTGTTTTCCCTTTTGGGAGGGAAAGAAAGGATCCCTAAATAGTGTTGGCGATGACATCTTATTTACAAGTTGTTTCAATCCTTCTTCCTCATTGGACAGAAATAGCAATAGCATTAATATTCCACTTCACAGTGCTTCCCTGCCCTCTCTAAGCGGTTTATAGAATCAGCCTTTTGTCCCTCCCCCCAACAATCTGGGTCCTCATTTTACCCACCTTGGAAGGATGGAAGGCTGAGTCAACCTTAAGCCGGTCAGGATCGAACTCCTGGCAGTGGGCAGAGTCAGCCTGCAGTTCTAACCACTGAGATAGAGGGAGCGAGGGAGGGAGGGAGGGAGGGAAGGAAGGAAGGAAGGAGGGAAGGAAGGAAGGAAAGAAAGAATAGACTTATATACCGCTTCACAGTGCTTTTACAGCCCTCTCTAAGCGGTTTACAGAGTCAGCCTCTTGTCCCCCCAACAATCTGGGTCCTCATTTTACCAACCTCGGAAGGACAGAAGGCTGAGTCAACCTTGAGCCAGTCAGGATTGAACTGTTGGCAGTGGGCAGAATGAGATTTGAACTGCCAAACTGCTGGCAATCGGCAATCAGCAGAAGTAGCCTGCAGTACTGCATTTTTACCACTGAGAGAGAGGGAGCGAGAGAGGGAGGGAGAGAAGGAAGGAAGGAAGGAAGGAAGGAGGGAGGGAGGGAGGGAAGGAAGGAAGGAAGGAAGGAAGGAAGGAAAGAAAGAAAATAGACTTATATACCACTTCACAGTGTTTTTACAGTCCTCTGTAAGTGGTTTACAGAGTCAGCTGCTTGTCCCCAACAATCTGGGCCCTCATTTTACCAAGGACGGAAGGCTGAGTCAACCTTGAGCCTGGCGAGATTTGAACTGCCAAACTGCTGGCAATCGGCAATCAGCAGAAGTAGCCTGCAGTACTGCATTCTAACCACTGCGCCACCACGGCTCTCAGAAAGATATAACGAATCTTTTTCCTACTTTCAATGCAGTAATGTTTACATAAAAGGATTCCCAATTATTGTGTTGCTTTCTTAAGCTTATTGGAAGGTTTTTATCCTGGGAATAACCTTCTTGTCCTTGCCACAATTACACCAACCGTCTATGGAGATTCTCCGTCATCCAAGTCATGGTTGTCCCAAAGAGTCAACTGGACTCTGGTTTTTCTTTGGAGACCTTTCGCTTCTCATCCAAGAAGCTTCTTCAGCTCTGAAGCTTCAGCTCTGAAGCTAAAGAAGCTTCTTGGATGAGAAGCGAAAGGTCTTCAAAGAAAAACAAAGGAAGTCCAGTTGCCTCTTGAAAAAGCAACTTTGGGACAACTTTGGTTAAAGGATTACACCAATCCTTTAACCAACTTGAAAGGTGACAGTTTTGACCCAAGCAGAGCCTGGTCCTAGACCCAAGGCTCTCCAAACACGACCACTTTAAGACTCGTGGACTTCAACTCCCAGAATTGGAATTCTGGGAGTTGAAGTCCACGAGTCTTAAACGTGGCCAGGTTTGGAGACCCCGCGACCCCCTTAACTAAAACTAGGGCAACGGAGTCCACGGCCTTCAACCAACTCTACAAAATTGCTTTGTTTTCTCTTGCTTTTCAGGCACGAGTCACGTAACTCTCCTGGGTATGGATTGTGTGTATTATTATGGGTTTGGCTCACCCGCCCGCCCCATCGACCCCATTCCACCCCACACGGGACACGCTCGGGCCTCCCATGCCTCCATTCCATGCCAGCTGTGGCTTCCAGGGGGCCAGCTCACCCCACTGTCTCCTTCTCCATTGTATCTGTGACTGAAGGGGCTGCGGTGGGGGAGGGGCGCACAGGGAGACCGTGTGAGCAAACCACCATTTCATCGCTGCGGGTTCTTTGTTTAATGCTAGATTGCGAAATCTGGTACTGAAAGGAGTTGGAGGCCTTGCTAGCAGGTTTATTTGACTTCTAGGCAAGAGCCTGGATGGGACTTCCTTCCCCAATTTGAAGATGCGTGGACTTCAACTCCAAGAATTCCGCAAGCCGATATGAGTTGGAAGTTCACACATCTTAGAACGTTGGCCTAAAATAACCCAACTTCTTTGACTACCTCACTTGGCTTTGCTTTTCTTGACTTCCCTTTGCTTTTCACCAGCACTGTGCAGAATTTTCTCTTCCATCTTTCCTCCCCAACACTTCCAATTCGCTTTTTAACAGTTGAGCGTTTGACCTAACGTTGATTTTACGGTGAAGAGAATTTGGGTGCAATTTTGAACTGGTTTGGTGTGGTGTTCTCCTTCGTACTTAGCGATGAGGCAGCCAAGGTGTGAAAAAAAAAATTGCCTTTTGTTGTGCCATCTTCTCTTCGGCCATCTGCAGTCTCTCGGGCCTTGTCTTCTATTCAATTCTGGGTTAAAATGATACGTGGGAATGCTTGCCAGAAGTTGCTTTAGATTGGCCGGTGTTAACAGCCCTCAAACCTCATCAAAAGCCTTTTCAGTGAGCTCAAAATACCACCAAGGGAAAAGTGAAAACAAGCAAGCACTGATTTGACTTCTCCGTCATTCCTTAACACAGAGGTGGGGAATGATGGACCCTTTATGACGTGTGGACTTCAACTCCCAGAATTCCTGAACCAAAATGGCTGGCTCAGGAATTCTGGGAGTTCATAAAAGGGCCATCGTTCCCCACCTATGCCTTAACAGCTGTTGTTTCCTCATGGACCACTACCTTCATTTCCCGTTCATGTCTCCTCCTGGGATCTCCGTTTCATTTTCCAAAGATTTGAGCCATTCCCTTCTTCATGATTCTCCAAGAATCCAACCTCTTTTCCCTGTCCCTTGTTTTCGTCTTTTAGCAAGGAGTAGTTTCTTCTAACCTCCTGTCATCTGAAAAACAAAAAACACTGTTCCACCAGCTTAGCAACACTGAGCTTGCTGATGATTCTCAAAACGGATGTTTTTCAGAGAATTCAAGGTGGTGTGAAATAGTGAGTGGTGCGGTGGCCTAGAGGTGATGCTCTCACCTCCCAATCAGGAGGCTGCGAGTTCGATCGTAGGTAGAGGCAGATATTTCTCTCTCTGAGCATAATGAGAATATATCTGCCGAACAAAACTCCGCACTGGTGACAGGAAGGGCATCTGGCCAGTAAACGCTCAGCTCCATTCAGTTGCCCAGATTCCACCCCGCAAGGGATTATGGGGTTATGAAAAGAAGATGAAGGTGGTGCGAAATAGGACTCAGAATGTCCCCCCCCATCACTGAACCAGATTTTGCAGGTGTCTTCTAAAGCGTTTTGAACCAGTGATGAAAACGAGACAAAGAAAAATGTCGGGAATCCTTTTTTTCAAAGCTCCATGAAAAAAAATACCGGTCTACCCTTCAAAAGCCCTCTTTGATCTATATCCATAGCATAGTAGTTTGTTCGATCGTATCTTACGCCATTGTTGATTGCAGGATGAAGCCACACGAGATCTCAAGATTGTACAAATATTATTCAAGAAGACACATCTGGATTAGATATTAGACACAGGAGATGTTCTGACTTAGGCGTTGCCAAACCACGAAGCAGACTCCTTATCCCGACAAAAATCCCTTTTTATTAAGTTACTTGTGAATTCCTCTCATTCACATCCAGCGAAGTCTTTCAAGGGTGAATTTACAGTCACAGGCCTTATCTGGCTTGGAGAGCTGCCAGGCTGATATCGTCAAAACTTGGCAAGGAGTCTTGGAGAGTCACGAACCAATTAAGCGAACTAATTGCCTCCTGCAAACTCCACTCCCCTTTCGCTCCTCTTTTATTCCCTCTGGGAGGGGCCATTCATCGTCCATCTGTGGCTTTACTCCTGAGTCGCCCCTTGTTCCTTAGCTGTTTCGTTCGTCTGGCAACTCGGTGCATGCGGACACTGGGAACAGGCTCCAGTTGTTCTTCTGCCCCACTGATGTCTGACTCTAAAGGCAGCTGATAACTGGCATCCGGCCCTGGCCCCCTCTCTGCCTCCGATGCAGAGCCCTCGTCCGGGCCTTCCCCAGACTCCAGGACTGGCCCATGTTCCTCCCCAACCTCCTCATGTCCGAGTCTGCTATCAGCTACGCTGGCCACTGGTGAGCCACAAGAGGAGGAGGACACCTTCATTACATTGGTGGGCTTCTATAGGATTCAGGCCACAAACAAGCCTTCTCCAGCCTTGCTCCATCTGGGTTGGAAAGTCCAATGGAATTCTGGGAGTTGTGGTCCCATCGTGCCTGCAACGTGTTTGATTGAATGAGCTGGCTCCAGATTTAAGTAGAGCTGCAGGAACGGACCGTGGAAATGGATGCCCTTGGCCACCTTCCTCGCTCTAGGCCACCTTTCCTCGCATAAATTCTAGGCCACGGAAGGGTTGACTTTCCTCTGTTGCTTTCCTTTTGCCTGACCTCTGATTCCACCATGTTTTCATCCCTGTCTCCTGATTTTTTAGGAGACGAACTGCCGGGGACCAAGATGCAGAAACGGGAACTTCAGTATCAGGAAGACGAGAGAGAAATTGTGGAATTTGTCCCCAAATTGGATCACACGTAAGTTATGGAGAGGGCGCTCTACAGGTAGTCCTCGACTTACAACAGTTTGTTTAGTGACCGTTCGAAGTTGCAACGGTGCTGGATAAAAGTGACTTAAGATTCTTTTTCACACTCAATGGCCATTGCAGCATCCCCATGGTTCATACTTATGACTGTTGCTGTGTCAAGGTCATGTGACCTCCTTTTTGTGACCTTCTGGCAAGCAAAGTCAGTGGAGAATCCAGACTCACTTAACAACCATGTTACTGAGTTAACAAATGCAACAAGTTCACTTAACCACCGTAGCAAGAAAGATCGCCAAATGGGGCCAAACTCGTTTAACAAATGTTTCACTTAGCAACATCAACGTTGGGCTCAATTGTGGTCATAATTCAAGGACCCTCTGTAAATCCATTTGGCAGCCTTTCATCATGGTAGAGCCCAAATTTTTCAGACCAACGTCCTCTAAATGAGATGATCCAGAACAGGGGTGAAATGTAAAATGTGTTACTACTGGTTCTGTGGGCGTGACTTGGTGGGGGAGGTAATGTGACTGGGTGGGCGTGGTCAATTTTTTTTTTTTTTACTTTTCAAAGCATTTTTTTCTAATGCTTTGAAAAGCCTCTGCCGATCAGGCAACTCAGCTGGGATCGTCAGAGGGCTTTTTAAAAAAAAATGCCTCTCTGCCGATCAGGGAACTCAGCTGGGATCGTCAGAGACTTTTCAAAGCAATTTTTTTACCTCTTCGGCCAAGAGGTTGCAGAAAAAAATGCTTTGAAAAGCCTCTGAGGATCCCAGCTGAGCCGCACGATCATCAGAGGCTTTTTTTTTTTTTTACTTTTAAAAGCATTTTTTCGTCGGAAGAGTTTGTAGAAAAAATGCTTTTAAAAGTTAAAAAAAAAAGCGCCTCTGATGATCCTGCGACTCAGCTGAGCATGGTGGGGCGGGGGGGGGTGCAGGGATTTTTGCTACCGGTTCTCCGAACCACCCGCCACCATCGCTACTGGATCGGGCGATCTGGTCCGAACCAGGAGCATTTCACCCCTGCCCAAAAGTGCTTTTTTCCCAAAAGACGGCTGGACTTTCTTGTTTTCATTTTCTTTGAAAACATTTCCTTTCTCCTCTGAAAACTTCCCCAGTTCTAACTTAGTTAACTCAATTAGAACTGAAGAAGCTTGTTGGACATTCCCCCCCCCCCCCAAAAAAGGAGAAGTTATATTGCACAAAACCCTGTACAATATAACTTTGCAATACAATATTGTATGTAAGGGACAGAGTGTGTATTGTGAAGATGCTATGCCTGTTTGTGAGGTGCATCCTTTCATGTATCTCCGTGTACATGTATAGATCACGTGTGGGCTTCAAATATTTTAGCACAGGGTTCTCTGCTCGGTTGCTGGGGGGGGGCGTTTTTGCCCTCCCCGGGCTCCGGAGGCTTTCTTCGAGCCTCCGGGAGAGCGAAAATGGCCTCCTCAGGCTCCGGAGGCCCTCTGGAGGCCAGAAACAGGCCTGTTTCTGGCCTTCCCAAATTTCCGGTAGGCCCGTTTTTCACCCTCCCTGAGTCTCTGCATGCGCCCTGCATTTACCTGCCACGTGGGGACTCCTGGGAGGGGAGGGGTGGGGTGGGTGGGGGGCCAGACAGGAGTGGGATTTGGGGGTTCTCCGAACTGCACAGAATCTTAGCTAGAGGTTCTCCTGAACCCGTGCGAATCCCCAGCAGCCCACCCCTGGTATAGATGCAAGACAATACTAAGCCCCTACGGCCTACCTCGGGCCTATTGTTAAGCCCTTAGAGGTAGTGTTTCAAGGAATGTGGCAGCATTGGAGCTTCCAGCCTAATATGGCTTCCAACGCTGACAGAAGGCCAGGCTGCACCCTCTTTTCCCAACACCCTTCTTCCTGTTTTAAATTTTGTTTTGAAACACAGAAGGGAGGAATCACCAGCTATCCCTCGAATCCCTTGCGTTACGCCTGAGACGGTCCTGATCCAGGCTGAGGAACCCGAGCAGGTGAGTGCCAGCCCAACAAAGCTACAATGAGGGCAGGAGCTGAAGGAGCATTCCACAGGAGTTTTGTTGGTCAATTACCTGTTAGTCCAGGGCTATCCAACCTTGGCAACTTTTAAGAACTGGGAACGTCAAGTCCCAGAATTCCTCAACCAGCCATGCTGGCTTGGGAGTTTAGGGAATTGAAGTCGACAAGTCTTAAGGTTGGACACCCCTGTGTTGTCAACCCTGAAGCTGACCTGACCGAAGCCATTTTGATGCTTCAGTGTTGCCACACTGGAGCTGAGGGATAGGGAGGGGTGGTGGCGGAATAGAGATAGCTGGGAGTTTTCCAGCCGAAACAAAATACTTTCTCCTGGGAACCAAGGACATTCTAAAACCTGGCCAGAGAGAGGAGGAGCAATGTTACCAGGCAACCAGATGGCACCTTGATTGGACCATGTGACGTTTGGGGAAGGGGGAAAACTTTTAATTAGGTGAAAACCGCGGGAATCTTCCTGAGTCGGTTTTCACCAGAACTGTGCCAATATGATATATCTGATAAAACTATACTTTGAGGAATCTACCTGCCTCGGAGTTTTGTTTGCGGTGGGTATATCACTTGGAACCCTGACGTATGTTAGATCAAGCTGGAGTTGTGTGCTTAGCAGACCCTGGTCCAAATTTCCCCCCACCCAACCACCCCAACAGCCTAATGTAATGAAACTCAGCTTAAGAGTTGTGAGGAAATGCTCCATGGGAACAGGTGTACCCATTTTTGGCAGAGGTGCCAGAACTTCTGGGTTCCAAGATGGCAACGTGAAGAGTTTGCACGAAGTGGAGTTGGGATGAAGAGTGTTTGTAGTGGAAAATGGCATCTGCGGGAAGGAGGTCCAGGTCATGGAGAGTCTGGCATGGATTGGTAAGGTCTAAACCTCTGTTTAATAGGAGACCCATTTCTGTTCCATCTAGCCTTCCAAAGAGTTTGATGAAGAGTCCCTCATCCCAAGCAGTCCTGCCACAGAGACCTCTGACAACATCAGTCCTGTAGCCAGCCCTGTCCACACAGGGTGAGTCATCTCTGCCATCTCAACCCCTTATGAAGTTGTAGGAAGGGTCTCATCATGTCATCATGACAAGATTTGTTGCCTGTACTCTTTTGACGATGAGTCCTTTGGCGGCGCTGTCTTGTCTTCTTCTCCCCTCCCAGGTTCCTGGTAAGTTTCATGGTAGATGCCCGTGGAGGCTCCATGCGGGGCAGCAGGCACAATGGCCTCCGCGTCATCATTCCACCCAGGACGTGTGCAGCACCAACTCGCATCACCTGCCGGCTGGTTAAGCCCCAGAAGCTACCAGCTCCACCCCCTCTGGCCGAGGAAGAAGGACTGGCCAGCAGAATTATTGCTTTGGGCCCTGCGGGAGCACAATTCCTCAGGTGAAAACTTTCTTTCTTTCTTTCTTTCTTTCTTTCTTTCTTTCTTTCTTTCTTTCTTTTTTCTTCTTCTTCTCTTTCTTTCTTTCTTTCTTTCCTTCTTCCTTCCTTTCCTTTCCTTCTTTCTTTCTTTCCTTTCTTTCTTTCTTTCTGTCTTTCTTCCTTCCTTCCTTTCTTCTTTCTTTCTTTCTTTCCTTCCTTCCTTCCTTCCTTCCTTCCTTCCTTCCTTCCTTCTTTTTCTTTCTTTCTTTCTTTCTTTCTTTCTTTCTTCCTTCTTTCTTTCTTTCTTTCCTTCCTTCCTTCCTTCTTTTCTCTTTCTTTCTTCCTTTCCTTTCCTTCCTTCCTTCTTTCTTTCTCTTTCTTTCTCTTTCTTTTTTCCTTTCTTTGTTTCCTTCCTTCCTTTCCTTTCTTCCTTCCTTCCTTCTTTCTTTCTCTTTCTTCCTTCCTTCCTTCCTTCCTTCTTTCTTTCTTTCTTTCTCTTTCTTTCTTTCTTTCCTTCCTTCCTCCTTTCTTTCTTTCTTTCCCTTTCTTTCTTTTCTTTCTTTCCTTCCTTCCTTCCTTCCTTCCTTCTTCCTTCCTTCCTTCTTCCTTTCTTCCCTTCCTTCCTTCCTTCCTTCCTTCCTTCGTTCCTTCCTTCCTTCTCTCTCTCTCTCTCTCTCTCTCTCTCTCTCTCTCTCTCTTTCTTTCTTTCTTTCTTTCTTTCTTTCTTTCTTTCTTTCTTTCTTTCTCAGCAAGTACAAGTAACAGTATAGACATAGACATGGACACATGAAATTTTTTTTTTGGCTCAAATAAAAGGAAATAAATAGGCAAAACATAGCCATAAACACATACTTATAAGTGGGGACAGTAGGATAGGGATGGTAGCCACGCTGGTGCGCTTATGCACGCCCCTTTAGGGACCTCTTAAGAAACATGAAAGGTCCACGGTAGACAGTTTAAGGTAAAAGCTATGGGGTTTAGAGAGACCAATAACAGGATCAGGTAGAGTGTTCCAGACATTTACAACTCTATTGCAGAAGTCCTATTTCCTACAATCAAGATTAGAGCGAGTTATATTGAGTTTGAATCTACTGATAGGCCTTGTGTTATTACAGTTGAAATTAAAGTACTCATTAACAGGTGGGACGTTTTGGTAAATGATCTTATGAACTAAGCGTAGGTCAGAACGTAGACGGCGAAGTTCGAGGCTATCTGTAGAGATTCTCTGTCCTCCAGGTCATGGTTGTCCCAAAGGTGTCAAAGTTTCTTCAGTCCTGAAGAAGCTTCTTGGATGAGAAGCGAAAAGTCTTAAAGAAAAACCAAGGAAGTCCAGTTGCTTCCAAAAAAAGTACCTTTGGTACTGGGAGAGTCTTTGTTTTCAACTGTTATGAGACAGTGGCCATCTAATCAACTTCTTACACTCAATTCTCTTGTAGCCCTGTGATTGTGGAAATCCCTCATTTTGCCTCGCACGGCCGTGGTGACCGAGAGTTGGTGGTCCTACGTAGTGAGAATGGGTCTGTATGGAAGGAGCATCGCAGCCACTACGCAGAGAGTTACTTGGACCAGGTCCTCAATGGGATGGATGAAGGTAGGGACATCTACCTGGAAGACATCAACTTGCCTAGGGACTCCAATGAGATTCAAAGATTGAGGAGCTATGACAAAGTGATGGGACTCTCACAACTGCTTGTCTGAAACCCATCTCTGGACTTCTGCTCCTCCTTCTCCCTTCTCCTTCTCCTTCTCCTCCTGCTTCTTTTCCTCTTCCTCCTCCTCCTCCTCCTCCTCCTCCCTTCTCCTCCCTCCCTCTCCTCCTCTCCTCCTCTCTTCTCCTTCTCTTTCTCCTCCTCCTCCTTCCCCTCCTCCTTCTTCTCCTCCTCCTCCTCCTCCTCCTCCTCCTCCTCCTCCTCCTCCTCCTCCTCCTCCTGGAATTGAAGTCCACTCCTCTTAAAGTTGCCAAGATTGAGAAATATTGTCATAAAGTCTGATGTTTTGACCCTTTAATTAATTCTATTACTATGATAGTTGTTGTTAGTATTTTTGTTGTGATCCTGATTAATTTCTGGAGGCAGGCTAGCCACTGGATCTCTCGTGACCTGTGGGTTCTAAAATTCCTCAGTTACTCTTTTACAGAATTGGAAAGTCTGGAAGAATTGGAGAAGAAAAGGATTTGCCGTATCATCACAACCGACTTCCCCTTGTACTTTGTGGTCATGTCCCGGGTGTGCCAGAACTGTGAGTTGATTGGCCCAGAAGGGGGATGTCTCCAGAGTTCGTTGGTGCCCATGGTCCAAGCCACCTTTCCCGAAACGGCAGTCACCAAGAAAGTCAAGTTGGCTCTGCAGGTACTGAATGAAGGACATTGTGATTGCTTTCATGAAACCTTCTTGATTCGTTTACTGGATTGATTTGTTTTCTGGGTTTGAACAATAGTTTTGAACCCTGTCTTTACCAAATGGGATGGACTTGTAACATTTCCTTCCTTCCTTCCTTCCTTCCTTCCTTCCTTCCTTCCTTCCTTCCTTCCTTCCTTCCTTCCTTCCTTCCTTCCTTCCTTCCTTCCTCCCTCCCTCCCTTCTCCCTCCCTTCCCTTCCCTCTCTCTCCCTTCCCTTCCCCATCTCTCTCTCTCTCTCTCTCTCATCATCTAACTACCTATCATCTATCTATCATCTAACATATTTCTTAACCCAGGGGTGAAATGCTACCGGTTCGCACCGGTTCAAGCAAACCGGTAGTAAAAAAACACTACCAGTTCGTCCGAACCGTTATTTCCCCCGATCAGCCTGTGCTGCGCGATTTATATCCGCTAGAAAGCAGAAAATCCTTTAGCGAATCTAAATTGCACGGCACAGCTGTTCCCCCCTCACTGTTCTACTTACCTTCTTAAGCCTCCTTTTCCTGTGCTGCGCAGTAGCGCCTGTGGTGCGCATGCGTGCACAGCACATGTTTGGCGTGCACTACGCGTGATGTAGGTTGTTGTCTTCATTGCTTTGAGTCAGGAAGAAGCCTTCTCGAGACCTTCCTGAGTTTTGGTCTTTCTCTTGCAGGCTCAGCCAGTGCCTGATGAGCTGGTGACCAAACTCCTGGGGAACCAAGCAACCTTCAGCCCAATTGTGACGGTGGAGCCGCGCCGTAGGAAATTTCACCGACCGATCGGGTTGCGCATTCCCTTGCCCCCATCCTGGAGAGAGAGTCCCCGAGACAGCGGGGAAGGCGATACCACCAGCCTGCGCCTCCTCTGCAGCGTTATAGGTGAGCGGGGGCTGCTGAGGGTGTGTAAGAGACAGCATCCCTTCCCCATGTTGCTTCTTCGTTGCAAAGTTGGGGAGGACCTCGGGATTTGGAAGCTGCGCTATGGGGAAGCTGGACATCCTCCCGGTCATTGGTCTTCTCGGTCCTCTTTTACTTCCAACCCATGATCCTCCATTACATTGAGGACATAAGCAGTGCTCTCTCTTGTAAACATCTTCAGAATAATGTCACATGATGCCAGCTCTTCAAGGTAGACCAAACTAGGAAACCAAAGTCACACAGGCCAATCTTGCAGAATCTTGCAAGTCTGAAAGTGTCTCTCCCCCCTCTTATCTTTGTGAGAACTAGAGAGGGTCTTGGGAGAAGTGTGTGACACTTTCTCAAATTACATTTCTGTTCCTCAACTCAAGTTTCCTTTATCTGATTATAGGTAGTCCTCAAATATCAACTACAATTGGAACTGGCAACTCCAGCACTAAACAATGCAGTGGTTAACCAAGACATCACATGACCACGATAGACTCACAACTTCCACTGTAGTTGTTATGCAAATCACCCCTGAATGTTAAGCAAGACATACCTGACAGCAATTTGCAACTTTACTGACAGTTTCTCCATTGACTCTATTTAGAATACAATAACAGAGTTGGAAGGGTCATCTTTTAGGTCATCTAGTCGAACCCCCCACCCAAGTAGGAGACCCTATCCCATTTCTGACAGATGGCAGTCCAGTCTCTTCTTGAAAGCTTCCAATGATGGAGCTCCCACAACTTCTGAAGGCAACTTATGTTCCATTGGTTAATTGTTCTCGCTGTTGGAAAATTCCTCCTTATTTCTAGGTTGCATCTCTCCCTGATCAGTTTCCATCCATTATTCCTTGTCCAGCTTTTGGGTGTTTTGTAAAATAGCCTCCACTGTAGTTGCTAAACGAATCACCTCTGCATGTTAACCACGACATATGTGACAGCAATTTGCAATTTCACTGCCAGCTTCTCCATTGATTCTGTTTGTCAGAAGGCCGCTCTTAGTAACATCACACAGGACTGGCCAATTGGCCTCATGCCGAGCTGAGCTTCTGTACCGAATTTCTAGAATCAAACCGGGGATTGAAAGACGCTCAATTGGTTCTTCCCACTTTCTTTTCCCAGGAGGAACTGCGCCAGCACAATGGGAGGACATCACCGGGACCACAAAATTAATTTATTCCGACGAGTGTGCAAATTTCACCACCAACGTGTCAGCCAGGTGAATTGGAGGGAAGGTTTAGGAGAACGTGTTGGGTGGCACCTCAACAACACATGCTAGATCTCATAGGGCCGTGATGGCCAACCTGTGGCACACGTGCCACAGGTGGCATTTGCTTCCTTCCCCTTCCCTCCCTCCATAGTTCATTGTCAAGCTGAAATGCGACAATAGTTGCGACAGCAAACGTCATTTGAAGCTTGACACAAGGTAGTGCCGCCATTGAATCAAGCTTGACTTCTGTTGATTCCTTAGATATGTCCACGTTGTTTTCTTGGCAACTGAACAGAGGTGGTTTGCTCATCCTTGGCATATTCTGGTGGTTTCCCATCCTACTACTGTATTACTTTTTCTGCTATGTAGGTTCTGGCTTGCAGACTGCCCGCGCACAGCCGAAGCCGTCCATTTTGCCACGCTGTTATACAAGGAGCTGGCAGCGGTGCCGTACATGGCTAAGTTTGTGGTATTTGCCAAAATGAATGACGGGAGGGAAGGACGCTTGCGCTGCTACTGTATGACCGATGACAAAGTAGACAAAACGTTGGAGCAGCATGAAAACTTCACAGAAGTGGCACGAAGCCGAGACATTGAGGTAACTCCTCGGGTTAGGCGATGGCGGGGTCAAATGCATCATCAGTTTAGAGTCGCTCTGGTCCCATAAGAGACCTAAATTCGGAACCTCGTGAATTCCGTTGACTCTTATCTAGCACCAATTTGCCTTGACTGTTAGTAGTTCAGATTCCTGTGTACAGGGAGCATGAAATTGACTCGTACTACTTTTGAACCCTATCCTGGCTTCTGGTTTCTTGTGCCTGACACTGGGACACTTATTGGTTGCCAGTCACTCCAAGGTTTAATGCCCCTGTCAGACTTCAATGCTATCTCAAAATAAATGAATTTCCAAACTGCCAATCTTTAAGGAAATTTTCTCTTTATTTGAGTACAGCAACCGGATCATGGCTCGTGCGGTCAGGACTGACCTTTGCCCCCCAATCCCTCCCTTTCCGATCCCCAATTCTCTGCTTCTCATTAGCTATCTTCCAAGTCACTCTCCTGACTTCTTTTCTCATCAGTTCACAGGAATGTTTCCCCCCCTCTTCATTTCCAAGGAGACCGAGCTTCAAAGGGATTTAGCAGGCAAAAGTTCAGGCTTTATCTCCCTTTTCTATGTCAGCGCTGAGACGCTGACAGCCCCCTCCCCCTGCCTGCCATCTTGGTTGCTTTCCAGATTTTTTTTTTCATTGTAGAAGAATTGCAATTAGAATTTTCTGTAATAGTTATTTATTAATTTATTTTTATTTGGTTTGGTTTGATTGATTTGACTTGATTTGATTTGATTTTGGTGCCACTCAAATCCAAACTAACTCTGGGTGGCTTTTGATCGCCCGGAGAATCTTACGGTGGTCTTTCGCAGGTGGCCGAAGGTATGCCACTCCACATGGAGCTTTCTGGGAACCTGCTGCCAATCAAGAAGGCCGCCCAGCAACGGAGCTTCTTGTTCCAGTCATTCCATGAGAATCGTCTCATCATCCCAGTTAAGGTAATCGGCAAAAGTTTTGGAAATCTGGGGTTGTCTCCGGTTGTTCTGGCTGGCTCTCTTCCCAGATAAGGATGCCAGCAGAGTCTATAACCATCTCTTTGCGGTCTTGCAGAGGAGAAGCTTAGAAGGGGGGAAGAAGAGAGGAGTGGGGGAAGAGAAAGGGAAGTAGGAAAGAGAAGGAGAGGAAGAATGAAGGAAGTAGGAGAAGAGAGAGGTAGGAAGAGAAGGGGAGGAGAAGAAGAAAGGTTGGAGTAAAGGTAAAGGGTAAAAGAGCAGTCCTGAAAAAGTTAAAATTAAAAATGAAAGTTAAAAGAAAAGATGAATGAAAAATGATGAAAATAACTGTACATGTAAATGTGTTTATGAGAAATAAAAATATTTTTTTTAAAAAAAGAGAAGTTACTTATTGTAAGTAGACATTTCAGAAAGAAAAGCTAAGTTTGAGTCACTTCAGAATAACAGAATAACACTTTTAATTGCTATGCTTTAAGAGAAAGAGCAATTAAAAGTATCAAAGCGGGCAAGAGACGATGGATGGATGATTTCTTCCTTTTTATGTTGTTGTTCTGATTTGCTCCTCCCTTTCTTTCTCTCCCTCTTTTCTTTTCTCTCTCTTTTTCTTTTAGGTAGGTGACATGATTAGAAGTTAGAAAGGAAAGAAAGGAAAAGTCTTTTAATAAAGGGTGATATGATTAAAAGCTAGAATAGGTGATAGAAATAAGAGAAGGGGGAATATCAATGTATGCATTTTTATATAATAAATTGAAAACAATAATGAGAAAACGTGGAATAATTGAACAATGATAGATTGCAATCTAAGACAAGTGTGTATTATTTACTAGAAATATATAAGTTGATTGAATGTAATAATTATGATTAATAGTTTTATTTGTATTAGAATGTGTAACACCCATATGTCAAACATTGATTTGATACATATATAAAAAATAAAAAAACTTGGGGGAAAAGACACCTCCCCTATACCATTTCAGACAAATGGCTGTCACCCCCTTCTTATACTTCAGTGAATTAGGGAGGGTTCTGCCTGAGCTATTTTCAAATATTATTTGGATCTTCTGGACTTGAACAATGCTTTGGCCCTTTTAACTTAAGCAACGGAACCTGTAAATCTCCATCAAGCTCATAACAGAATAACAGAAGGGACCTTGGAGGTCTTCTAGTCCAGCCCCCTGTTCAAGCTGGAGACCCTATTCTATTCCAGACAAATGGTGGTCCAATCTCTTCTTAAAAACCTCCAGTGATGGAGCCCCCACAACTTCTGGTGGCAAGTTGTTCCACTGGTTAATTGTTCTCACTTTTAGGAAGAGAACTATTAACAACTAACTCTCACTACAGCTGAAGAGTTTTCTTGACCTTGGCCAGGGAAGGGAAGAGATCACACTGTTACTTTACCCTTGCAGCTCAGCAACTGTTTGGAGCTAAAGTCAGGGCCAGGAACATGGTTGCAAAAGGATTAAAGGATCAGGGAAGTGCAATTATGTGTCAGGATTCGGTGTCGTCTCAAATAAATTGCATTTCAAACAAATAGTCCTTGATCAAAATCTTTCATTTATTAAGCACAACCATCGAAACTCCGACTCGGCTGCAGCCAACACTGACCTCCTGGTCCAAACCCTCCCCTTCCTTTTCTCACTGCTCTGCGTCTCATTGGCCATCTTCCAAATCACTCAGCTGTTATCTACTACTTCAGCTCAAAGGAATTTCCCCCCTCCCAACCCATCTCCTAGGGGATAGTATGTCCAGGGAAAATAAGTAGGTGAAAAGTCAAACGACCTCTTGCCAGATGCCCCCACCTTCTCCTTCTTATGTCAGCGCTGGAATGATTGCAGCTTGGAGTGCTGACATCATGATGAGCAGGAGGCTGAAATTTGTATCCTACAAGGGGAGACCGAAGGAGGTTTAGTCTCTAAAAAAGACAACTGAAGAGAAGATGATAACTACTGTGTTTTCCCAAAATATGGCCTACCCCCAAAATAAGCCCCAGCCTGTTTTTTATCCGTGCACCTAATATAAGCCCTACCCCCAAAATAAGCTGTTTTGCTTGTCATCCAAGCTCTTCTTGGATGAGAACTGAAACGTCTTCAAAGAAAAACCAGAGAGTCCAGTTGCCTCTTGAAAAAAACAAGCACCTTTGGGACAACCAGAAAGGAAAGTCAAGTTAGAAAGGTGGGACTTGATAGCAAGTCAAAGGAGGATGGAAGACGGGTGATATTTTGATCATGCTTCTTGAAGAACTTTCATTGCTTCCCTCTGGTCTTCTGAAATGTAGGTGAGGGACAGTAGCCGGGAAGCCAGTGGCTCTTTGTCCTTCCTCCGCAAGCCCATGAAGTATGAAGAGCTTCAGCATGTGCTGTGCCATCTGAATGTCACAATGCCACCCTGTTCCAAGGTAAGTGAGTCCACCTTCTCGTGTCCTATCTTGCCCATATTCCATTGCTTTGAGTCATATCCTACTCTTTTTGGCTTGTGCAGAGCAGGCTTAGGGTTCAATCCCCTTTCAAGCTTGCAACGATGCAATTGCCTGCAACGCAGCCAAGCTGTGTGTATCTACAGTTGTCAGATTCTGATGAAATATCAACAATGGTGCATTCGTCCCTCCCTCCATTGCCTGGCTCCCTTGAAAACACGGAAAGGAGCATGATTTTGAGGAGGGGGGGGTGATGGGATGGAGTATGTACCTGGAGAAGGAATGGGTAGTCTTCCAAGGGAAGAAGCAGCACATTCCAGAGAGAAGCCCAAATTAAAATACTGCACAGTCTCAAGGTGGATGGGGGAAGAAGAAAGAGATTCAGGGTAGCCATACCAGTGGTGAGTCGCTCCCGGTTCGTCCCGGTTCGGGTGAATCAGTAGTGCCGGCAGCGGGAGGCTCCGCCCACCTGCCAAGATGTCATCACAAACACTCTGGGCATGAGCAGAAGCGCCGCACCTGCGCGCTACCAATAGCGAACTGGTAGCGCCGGGATTTGACTCCCACAACTGAGCTTGGGAAAACCCTACATTTTCCCAAGGTTTATCTATTAGTACTGATCATCATCATCATCATCTTCTTTTAATGACCCCATAATCCCTTGAGGGGTGGAGTCTGGGCAACTGAATGGAGCTAGCAGAGTGTTTTAATGGCCGGATGCTCTTCCTGTTGCCAATGTGGAGTTTTGTTCAGCATATATATTCTTAGTGTGCCCGGACAGAGAAATGAGCCGAGGTGGCACAGTGGTTAGAGTGCAGTACTGCAGCTACTTCAGCTGACTGCTAGTTCAGCAGATCAGCGGATCAAATCTCACCAGGCTCAAGGTTGACTCAGCCTTCCATCCTTCCGAGGTGGGTAAAATGAGGACCCAGATTGTTAGGGGGCAATATGCTATTTAATATACTGTCTTTGGTGTAAGCTGCTCAGAGTCCTCGGAGAGTGGGCGGCATAGAAATATGAATAATAATAATAAAATAAATATCCACCTCTACCTAGGATCGAACTCACAGCCTCCTTTATAGCTCAGGGTTGAATTGTGGGGTCCTTAGTGCTCTCACCGCTTGGGGGTTTTCTTCCAGACGTTTCATTACCAAACTAGATAATATGATCAACACCAATGACGTTTGGGAATGAAACATCTGCATACAAAAATATTAAAAGAGTATAACATTTAATTATTATTTGTGGTAAGGTATGGGGGGAACCTATTCTTGTAAGACTGTGCTAGAGAATTCCAGAACATTCTCATTCTCTAGATCGCAATCATTCAGTAGTTCTGAGGGCTATTCAGCTGTTTACCAGGGAATCGTGTTTTTGAATGTGGTATTCTGGACACGGTTCATTCGCAAAACGGGCCTCTGAAGTACCATATCTGGAACCCCATGAACCAGTTTTATTTTGGGAGATTTAACTTCTAGAAAATTGAGAGAGAGAGAGAGAGAGGCCCTTCCCTTTCCCCTACTGAATAGGACTGAAGTGGCTTGGAGAAGAATTGGAACATTCCAGAGATCTCTGGACCGTTCCTTCAAAGAATGTTAGGCTTTGGCCAGACTGTTCTGACCTAGGCTTCCGGCAAAAGCTCACGTCCCATTTGCTTCTCTTTTATGTCTTATGGGAGGGGCCAATCATCTCCAAGCCTTACTCCCAAGTCGACCCTGTTTTCTTCATTGTTCCTGTCTTCTGGCAGCTCTTTGCATATGCACGCTGGGAACAGGCTCCCGCTGTTCTTCTGCCTCGCTGCTGTCAGACTCCGGAGGCTGCACATAACTATCAGATGGCCTTGTCCCCCTCTCTGCCTCCGACACAGAGCCCTTTTCCGAGCTTTCCTCAGCCCCCAGGACTGGCCCAAGTTCCTCCCCAACCTCCTCACTGTCCGACTGTGCTGCCAGCTCTGCTGGCCGCCGGCGGGCCACAACACACACCTGCTCCAGATCACTACGTAATGCTTGCAATGAATACCAGCATTCCTCAGCAAGCAAGCTCAAGGAACAAGGAAGGAAAAGGAATGCTATGGATATCTCCTAAATCAATGTTCTCAGATCCTTGGTCATGAGATGTCCCAGGCTGGTGGCAGAAATGGGAAGAATCTTTCGTTTCTGAGTATTTGTTGGGTGGGTGCTCCTCTCCACTTGGATGCTGAACAATCTCAAACCTTTCCTTGTTCTCCCAGACTTCTGGCAGTGAAGAGCGAAGGAGAACTTTGACGCCGCTTGCCCTGAGAGAGAGATACAGCCTGCTCAGTGACAGCACCCTGGGTAAGGAGATAAGACCCCAGCGATGCAAGTTGGACAGACCCTAGAACTGTATTCCTCTTTGCTGGACTCAGCAGTTCACTGGGTCAAATGTAGTTACCAGTTTGAGGGTTGCTGGCTCAGTGGCTAAGATGCTGAGCTTGTCGATCGAAAGATTGGCAGTTCAGCGGCTCGAATCCCTAGTGCCCTGTAACGGGGTGAGTTCCCGTTACTTGCCCCAGCTTCTGCCAGCCTAGCAGTTCTAAAGCAGGTAAAAAATGCAAGTAGTAAAATAGGGACCATCTTTGGTGGGAAGGTAACAGGGTTCCGTGCACCTTTGGCGTTGAGTCATGCCGGCCACATGACCACGGAGACATGATCTCCGGAGATTTACGAATGTAAAATTACAAGGTACGGGAATTAAAATCCAGGAGAAACCTATAAATTTATAATCAAGTTTACAATCGATATTCAAAATACTATGGACAATTAAGGACGTAGATATTCCTAAACACTATGAGAATGTAAAGCTAAGCTAATTTACATTGAATCTAATACTTACTGAAGTCTGCTACGGTATGTTGGGGTTATGTTACTTATGATTCCATCAATAGGGAACTGGAGAAGCTTCTTGGATGAGAAGCAAAATGTTTCCAAGGGGAAACCCACCCACCCCCAAGAAAGCCCAGGTGCAGTGGTGGGTTCCTCCCGGTTCGGTCCAGTTCGGCCGAGCCGGTAGCGGTGACGATATGACGTCACCGAACTGGTTCTCCCCCCCGCCCTCCCACCCCCCACCCACGTGATTCTTACCTTTTATTTGGTCCCACCCCCAATCTATTGCTGCCTCCTGAGTCCCAACTGATGACTAGAGGCGCGGGGCTTCAAAGGGCCGTCCTACAGTTGATCAGTGTTAAAAGCAAATAAATGAGTCGGGTCGTAAGTGTGAGGACTGGTCGTAAGTACGAGGACCTTCCAGAAATGACTCTGATCAGCTAGCCACGCCCACCTAGTCACATGACCTCCAAGCCACACCCACAAAATAAGCCACGCCCACAGAATCGGTAGTAAAAAAATTTAGAACCCACCCCTGCCCAGATGCCTTTTGAATGGCATCGTTGGGATAACTCCAACAATACCTGAAGATGGAGATTGTTGAGTTTGGCTTTGTTCCTCTCTTTCCAGGATCTCTTAACAGCACAGAGAAAGACAAGACCAACATGAAGTTGGCGGTCATTGCCGAACATTTGGGTCTCAGTTGGGCTGGTAAGTAACACTGAACTGAGGTGCAAGGTGGGGAACCAATCAAGGTTAGGAGAGAAAATGTTGGCAGACCTGACTACCTCACCCGGAGACTGAATTGGCTATTGAGGTTCGGACTTTGGAGGAAGAATTCTCTTCTGCAAGGAGTATAAATCCTTCCATTCCCCACCATCTGGTCAGAGCTGAAGAAGCTTCTTGGATGAGAAGCAAAACGTCTTCAAAAGAAAAAACAAGGAAGTCCAGTTGCCTCTTGAAAAAGCACCTTTGGGACAACCTGGATGACTGAGAATCTCTACAGATTTTTAAGCGATGAAGTCTAGTTGCATTCCATTTCCAGCTGACGATTGACCTGACTCATATACTGTATTCTCCCCAATTCCCTGCAGAGCTGGCTCGGGAACTTCAATTCGGAGTGGATGATATCAACAGAATCCGAGTTGAGAATCCCAACTCCCTGCTGGAGCAGAGCATGGCCCTCTTGAATCTTTGGACCAGCCGTGCTGGCCAGAGTGCCAACAGTGAGTAATGAATGACAGTGTCGGAAATGTGAGCTTCATCTTTTGAAAATATCAGAGAGAGGCTCTAGATTTTTTTCCAGAGATTTTCTAAAATCAGCTCATGTCATCAAAAAAATCTTTGGGTTACATCAGGGGTCGGCAACCCACAGCTCTGGAGCCGCATGTGGCTCTTTCATCACTCTGCTGCAGCTCCCTGTTGCTGGTCAGCTTCACAATTGATAGGGCTTTCGGTTAGGTCAGGTAGAGGAAAAAGGATGCTGCACTAGGAGGAGACTCTTTGGTGGGGGAACTGACTTCCAGGCGGTAGAGGAAAAAGGACGACATGCTAGGAGGAGACTCTATGATGGGGGAACCGGACTTCCGGTTGGCTCCAGAATTGAATGGGGGCTTCCAGTTAGGACCTTTGTGGCTCTTGGCACTTTCATGTCAAATTAATGCAACTTAAGAGGAGGGAGTGTGTTGACTCATGTGGTTAGGTTGACAATCAGCAAGTCCGTGCTTGAGATCCGAGTGCTGTTGTGTGACAGGGCGAGTGCCCGTCATTTGCTTCAGCTGACCTAGCAGTTTGAAAGCGAGTAATCGTGAGTAAATAGATGGGTACCATTTCAGTGTGCACATTAATGGGGACGTGAAAGGAGCCCCCCCAATCAGGTGTCCCCTGGACAATAGTGATGTCACTGGCTAAGCCTTTCAACCTGGAAGCACCTCAGTGTTTCCAGCACGAATGCAAGCAAATTCAGCTTAGGTTCTTCTTCTTGCCATTTTGGACATCCCTCAGTGATGGGAATTGAGTTAGGAATGCAGAGTTGGAGAAGACGGGACAGTTTGGTTGAGGGTCCTCTTTTAAGTTTCCACTGACCTATTTCTTCTCTCATTAATGAGTATGAGCAACCAAAAAAGAGCCTTACCATTGGCCCTCTGCCATATCACAAAATAGTGAAGGTAGTCCTTTGCTGATTTTAAATCAATGAATGGAGCACCCCTTCCTCACTTACTTCTTTGCCCAAGGGTATCTCCTGTCCCTTGATTTTATAAAAAACTAGCTGATAACTCAGCGTTGCCCAGATATTTATAGACGTCGAAGCGTTTGTCTGACAGGGAGCCATTGGGAGGGGCCTTTCTTCCCCCAACTCCCATGTCCATCATCCCTGCCCTCTCCCCCCTCCCATACGCTCCTCTTTCCCGCCCTGTCGATGATCCTGACACTTTGCCCCAAATCCATCAGGCACTTCCCCATTGGTCCACTGGAGGGACAATGTCACGGCTGGCTTTCCAGAGGAAGCTGTGAAGGAACTGACATCACAAACAATTGCCACTCTAGGATGCTGCACTTGCTTCCTTAACGGCTCAGGCATTCCACAGTTATGCTGGACATACACACACACACACACACACACCAGGGGTGTCCTCCCCCACCCCCATCCAGTATTTGTTTACATAGGGTAAGTCATCTGTGTACCAAGTTTGGTTGAAATTTCTCGAGCTGTTCCAGAGTTATGCTGGAACAAATATACATGCATACATTCTTTATCTATATCTATATCTATATCTATATCTATATCTATATCTATATCTATATCTACAGATAGATAGATGATTGATGTTCAAACCTCAGGGCTATCTAAAATGGTAAAGCGTTTAGATCATAAGAAATTAGTTCAAGGATCCCTCTCTTTTGATTCTTTTTTCTTCTTTGCATGCTTATAACTCATGGAATTACTTTACCAAGCAAGGACAAAAAGTATATGGGTTGACACAAAAGAAGCTGAGCATTCCTTTCACATTTATCACTTTTATTTTATTATATAAAATACAAAGAAAAAAAAAAGGAAATTAAGGGTGGAAAAGGGAATGGAGAATAGGGGGTGTGGAATACAAGGGGGAAGAGAAAAAAGAAAGAAAAGGGGGCATTGACTTCCAATTCTTCTTAGCACAGTATAAGATAAACACATTCCAACCTCAACTTTTTGCTTTTACACATTAATATATAACTAGCCATCCCTATAACACCAAATCTTTCTAATCAACAAAACCAAGGTCAAAGTTTCATTTTAGAGAAAGGAGGTCACCATTCCTATTAAAGGACCATAATAAAATCAAACTGTGTTTGAATGGGTGTTTCCACCATGGTTTGGGCAAGGCTCCACTTGGCTTTAGGTCTAGCTCTGATTTCCTGTTCCTAACCTGTTCTTCCTTGTCCTTTGTCCAGTGGAGAGCCTTTACGCAGCCCTTCGCAACATTGACCGTAGCGAAATTATCAACATGCTGGAAGGTTCTGGGCGACAGAGCCACAGTTTGAAGAGTGACAAGCGCTACCGGCACAGAGACTATTCTGGGTCTCCCTCCCAGATAAATGGTGAGTCCCAGATCTGCTCTCTTCTACCAGCTTCAGGTGTTGCCTCCTGTGATCGCAGTCCTCCTTTCCTTCTCATTCTGGATCTAATAACGAACGCTTGGCAAAGGAATAATCTCGCTCACCATCTGGAGGCCAGTACAGTAGTGGCCAAAAGTGTATTTTGAGGTTTGATGGCTAATAACACCCCTTTTTTTGGGAGTTTCAAGATAATCCTATTCCACTGCTGGAATGGCCTGGGAATAGCCCAGACCTTCACCCAATTGAAAATCTATAGAGCCGACTAAAGAAACTTGTTAGTCAGAAGCAATAAAACCCAGTTAATAGAAGCCATCATTCAATCTTGGTTTCACATTAGAACAGCTGCAGAACTAAAAGACTTGGTTCACTCCATGGGAAGACGTTGTAAGGCCGTAATTCATGCTAAAAGTTACCCAACGAACAGTGGTGAAATCTAAAATTTGTTACTACCGGTTCTTTGGGCGTTGCTGGGGGGGGGTAATGTGACTGAGTTGGTGTGGCCAACTTTTTTTTTTTACTTTTAAAACCATTTTTTTCTACAACCTCTTCGGGCAAGAGGTTGTAAAAAAAATGCTTTTAAAAGCCTCTGACGATCCCAGCTGAGTTGCCTGATCAGCAGAGGCTTTTTTTCTTTTAAAAGCCTCTGTTGATCAGGCAACTCAGTTGGGATCGTCAGAGGCTTTTAAAAGAAAAAAAAAGCCTCTGCCGATCAGGCAGCTCAGCTGGATCGTCAGAGGCTTTTAAAAGCATTTTTTCTACAATCTTTTTGGCCAAAGAGGTTGTAGAAAAAATGCTTTTAAAAGCCTCTGACGATCCCAGCTGAGCCGCACGATCATCAGAGGCTTTTTTTTTTTTACTTTTAGAAGCATTTTTTCTGTAGAAAAAATGCTTTCAAAATTAAAAAAAAAAGCCTCTGATGATGCGTGGCTCAGCTGGGCATGGGGGGCGGGGGAGGTGGGCAGGGATTTTTCGCCACCGGTTCTCCAAACCACCAGCCTCCATCGCCCGGTCCAAACCGGGAACATTTCACCCCTGCCAACGAAGTATTAACTGACATGGTGATAATTTTTGTATATCTCGTTTTTTCTGCGTTTTGCTTTTCTTCTTTATCCTGTAACTGCTATTCTAATCCTTCCTAAAAGTTATTGCATTACATTCCTGCTTAAATTGTCTTTCCATTGATATATAATTTTATGATACGACTCCCCCCCCCAAAAAAGTGGTGTTATTAGCTAGTTTTAGAAAACACACTTTTCCCAAAAGGTCTCCACGATTTTGGCCATTACTGTATGTGTCTGAGTTCATCCTTATTTCATAGCCAGATCCTAGTCAACGGAGGTTCAACCACCTCTCTCTTTCTCCCTTATAGCTTCAAGCAACGTTTCTCAACTTTACCAGCTTGAAGATGCGAGACCTTCCACTCTAATCTCAGAACTTCCCATCCATCCATCCCTCCATCCATCCACATGTCTTAAAGCTGCCAAGGTTGAGAAACAATGGCTTAAAGCAGAGGTCTTCAAACTTGGCAGCTTTAAGACTTGTGGACTTCAACTCCCAGAATTCTCCAGCCAGAGAATTCTGGGAGTTGAAGTCCACAAGTCTTAAAGCTGCCAAGTTTGAAGACCCCTGCCTTAAAGGAAGATAGATTAGACACGCACCTCTGTGGCATCAAAACAATCAGACTGGCCATGAGGGTTTTAACAGGGGACCGAGCACCAGTCCTCTTGGTCTTTAAAAGTGTGTGGCCATCGCCCTCCGTAGGATTTGACTTGCTCGCCCCTGCTTCAAAACAGAACCGGTAAACCGTTGTGCCGATGAGATGCTTTGGGAATGAAGGTGCTGCACCACGGTTAAGAGACCAGGCCTTGGGCCGTCGAAGTTGAGCTGGGAATGATTGACGGGTTACCGAGGGGCGATTGATGGGTTATCGAGGGACCTAAGAGTTTGCAATCCAGGTGTCCCTTGGAAGATAACTTGCACAGGTGCGAATCGAGACGGGAGCGGGTTTTAGTGGGCGCTGGAGACCGAAGGTAGCCCACAAGGCTCTGATGCGATTAAGAGGGGTGCACCCAGCTTCTCTGCTGCACTGCCATTCTTTCTCTTGCCTCGTCCCTCCTTCCTTGGTGTGATCTCCCACTTTCTCTCCTGCCAGAAGGGGTGCTGGTTGTACCAAGCTGGCTGGCTGGGAGGTGCCCGACATGGCACCACTGGCTTCACCCTGTCTCTCTCTCTCTCTTCTTCTCCTTCTCCTTCTTCCTCCTCCTCTGCCACCTGTCTCCACTGTCTCGGCCTGTCTCGTTCTCTCTCTCTCTCTCTCTCTCGTGTGGTCTGAGCCGTCCTAGAGCTGCGGCTTCACTAACTAGCGCATGGTTTGCCCGCTTGGCCTGGCTTTTCTCCCCTTTGCATCTTCCTGCTGGATCCACCCTACCCCCTTGCCCACCCCAACCCCACCCTCCTGCGCTACTACTGCTTCCCTTCCTTGCCTTCCAGCGGCTTAACAACCCAATGCCTGAGCTGAACCTGGACAGACCCAAATCTGGCTGCAGCTGGGCAGCTCTGTTTCTTGGCTGCATGGAACGATCGTCACACTCACACTGAATCCTTGGGAAAAGGGACACCCAACTTCTTCCGCTTCCCTGCACTAACCAGAGGTCAGCCCCTTGCAGGAGGTTCCTGGAATCAATAAAGAGAATATTTCTCTATATATATTTATAGCTCAGGGTTGATATGAGAGGTCCTCGGTGGTCTCTGAGCTCGGTGGTTTCCTTGCAAACGTTTCCTTACCAAAGTAGGGAACGTCATCAGTGCTGGATGGTCCTTCTTCTCAGCCTGGCAATGATGGTTTGGGTCAGGGGTCTCCAAACGTGGGAACTTTTAAGACTTATGGACTTCAACTCCCAGAATTCCTCAGCCAGCCATGCTTCAGCCGAGAAGCCATGTTGGCTGAGGAATTCTGGGAGTTGAAGTCCACAAGTCTTAAAGTTCCCAAGTTTGTAGACCCCCTGGTTTGGGTAATGAAATGCAAGAAAACCACCAACTCAGAGAGCATCAAGGACTCCTGATTCCAGGAATGTGATTTATTGTTGTAGGATAGAACTTTTGAAAAAAACGCACTGGATTTCTCTCTGCAACATCATCTACCAAGCAAAATCAAGGCGGGCGGTTATTTTGACTTTCTTTCTCACGTTTTCCTCCTCCTCAAGACCACGTAACCCTTTTTCTGAAAGCCCCTCCCCCTTAATACTTCGCTCACCCCTTCCTCTTTGCCAAAGTTAGAGCTCCCTCCTTCTGCACCAGCCTGTCCTTTTTGGTTGAAAGAGGGCCACAGTTGGACAGGGTAGTTAAAGAGGAGCTTCCACCCCCCCCCCCATGCTCTCTGGATGGGGCCATAATTACCTGCAAGCATTTATTTATTAAATTTATACGTTGCCCCTCTCACTATTGAGTGACCCTGGATGGCTGCATGCCTCATGGCCCTTTCGGCCATGGAAATGGTTGGGCCAGGAAAAGTTGGAGGCAGCTGCTTTGCAATGTTTAGTAAACAGGAACCCAAGACTGTACAATTCTGATAGATGATAGATAGATAGATAGATAGATAGATGATAGATATTTAGATAGATGATAGATAGATATAGATGGTATAGATAGATATAGATGACAGATTGATAGATTGATAGATACATAGATACATAGATGATAGATAGAGATAGATGATAGATAGATAGAGATAGAAATAGATAGATAGATAGATAGATAGATAGATAGATAGATAGATAGATACATAGATAGATACATAGATGGTAGATAGATAGATAGATAGATGATAGATAGATATTTAGATAGATGATAGAGATATAGATGATATAGATAGATATAGATGATAAATTGATAGATAAATAGATATTTAGATAGATAGATATAGATAGATATTTAGATAGATGATAGATAGATGATAGATAGATAGATAGATATAGATGATAGATAGATAGATACAAAGATATAGATGATAGATAGATATAGATGATATAGATTGATTGATAGATATATAGATATACATGATAGATAGATAGATAGATAGATAGATAGATAGATAGATAGATAGATAGATAGATGATTATATATATATAGATACATATAGATATAGATGATAGATAGATATAGATGATAGATAGATGATTGATAAATAGAGATAGATAGATAGATATAGATGATAGATAGAGATGATAGATAGATGGATAGATTGATTGATTGATAGAGATAGATAGATAGATATAGATAGATAGAGATGATAGATAGATGATTGATAGATAGATAGTTAGAGATAGATAGATAGAGATAGATAGATATAGATAGATAGATGATAGATATAGATGATAGAGAGATATTTAGATAGATGATAGAGAGATATAGATGATATAGATAGATATAGATGATAAATTGATAGATAAATAGATAGATAGATATAGATGATAGATATTTAGATAGATGATAGATAGATAGATACAAAGATATAGATGATAGATAGATAGATACAAAGATATAGATGTTAGATAGATAGATATAGATGATATAGATTGATAGATATAGATGATATAGATTGATTGATAGATATATAGATATACATGATAGATAGATAGATAGATGATTATATATATATATATACATATAGATATAGATGATAGATAGATATAGATGATAGATAGATGATAGATAGAAAGATGGATAGATTGATTGATAGATAGATAGAGATAGAGATAGATATAGATGATAGATAGATGATTGATAGATAGAGATAGATAGAGATAGATAGATAGATATGATTGATATATATATATATAGATGATAGATAGATAGATAGAGATGATCGATATATATATATAGATGATAGATAGATAGATAGATAGATAGATAGATAGATAGATAGATAAGAAATAGGTAGGTAGGTGGGTAGGTAGCTAGATGACAGACAGACAGACAGACAAATAGTTTCTTGTCTTGCCTTCTGGTGCTTTGGAAAATGTTGAGCCCCTCTTCTTTGTGGCAGCCTCTCAGATACTGGAATACTAGTGTCATGTCACCCCTAGTCCAAGGACAAGAAGCAGCCATGGGATTTCAGCATTGAAAGGATCTGGGGGTAATTTTCCCCCCTTTTTATTTCTTCATATTTCCATAGAAATGACAAACAATGCTTCGATTGTTGCCTTAACTCTATGCAGAGCCAACTTCCTGACTCTGCCCCCATGCCCGATACATAGGCTTTATCCCAGAATCCTCAGCTTGCAAATTGGCTCTTAGGAGTTCTGGGCATTGAAGTCCCTCACCCATACTCAGATTGGGAGAAGTTTGACGTGAAGAGTTAAAGTTAGCATGAGATCCACCTTGCATTCCTGGCTCCCCTTCGAAAGCTGGTGGTCTCTGAACGAGAGCAAGTGCCCCTCTCCTCTCCCTTTTCTTCCCCCTCCCCGGGTGCAATTTTACTCCCCTTACCCAGATGGATCCATGGTGCTGGGTTGAGGAAGCGCCAATCAAACAGGTTGGGATGGAGAGACTCTTTGAATACGCAGCACAATTTCCATACCCGGAGCCTTGTTTCTCAACCTTGGCGACTTTAAGACGTGTGGACTTCAACTCCCAGAGTTC